TTTTAAATTTTTTTTTTTTTTTAAAGATTTCTTAATCAGGGACAAGCCCAACTCAAGGCAGAAAGGCTGCGCACAGAAGAACATCTTTCCTATGTAAATAGCAATTTCCTATTTTTTTTGTGTGCCGATTTTTTTGGGGAAAAGCAAAATGTCAAATACTTTGCAAGGAATAAAGTTTACCAGCGGTTGAATGTTTGTTGGTGTTCGTAAATGTTGCCCGCCCGCTGCAAATTTGATCCTGGATTACTTTGAATTGTTGAAGGATCAGTTTTCTCCATTCAGTCTCCCCTTTGTTGTCGACGCACCGAATACAAAATGCATTTTGATTGCGCATCGCTCATCTTTTAGAATAATGTTCCTTTTTTTTTTTTTTTTAATTTATTTTTTATGAAAAAGAAAAAAAAAAGTTCCAATATCGGACTGCACAAAAAAACTTTTCCACATTCACCAAGGTTGGAGATGAGACCAGAACGTCGATGAAGATGAGCATCGAGGGAGGCTTTTGTCTTCATCGCTAAGCAAACAAATAAACAATCGGCATCCAGATGGAGCTGCAGAAAAAAAAGAATGCTGCAATCATTTTTTTCCCTTGTTTTTTTTTTCTCCCCTCCAAGCTATTTCCAGTTGTAAAAGTCAACTAGGGAAGCGCTGAAATTTGTCTGTGCACAAAGGATAGTCCTTTAGGATGGATTACAAGCCTTATCTTGGCCTTTTCTGTTTTTCTTAGCGTCTTCCTGGAGACTTCTTCATCAATTTCCTTGTGGTTGTCTTCACTCACTTCGCTTTATGAGATTTTTTTTTTTCCCATCTTATCCGGACCCCTTTGTCCTTTTCATCAGCCATCTGGATCGTCTGGTATCTTGGAAACCTGGTGGCACCAATGGAGAATCTCGGAGCCTGGTGAAAAATATTTTCAGGTTACTTAGACCACAGAGCGATCCCCAAAACTCAGTCGTCTCTTCAAATTAAAAACGGCCTTTAACATGACTTAACTTCTCATGCATCCAGAATAGCTTAACTGCCTCGTCATGATGATCAGTTTACTCTTTACGAGTATGGTGATTTCCCGTTCGCTCCGTCCGTTTTCCTGTGGGGGATTTTGAGGTTGTGAAATCGGAGTAATGGTCGCTCGACTCATTCAGTCGAAACCAGTCGAACTGGGTTCATTTGTGACTGGAGCAAGGAGTGCTCTCATTTTCCAAGAGTGGATGTCTGGAAGGAACCAAATTCCATCAATAATCATAAAGGCATAAAACGGCAAAGTCCAAGGTTGAGACTTTTTTTTTTTTTTGTGGGGAGGGGCATACGTGGTTGTAATCTTTACGTGAAATATGTGGAGCAGGTGGTTTCCATGTTCAAGTGGACACACCTTGTTGACAGTGTGGCTTATATTTAAACGAAAATAATCTTTCCCTTTTAACAGTAACAATACCATCCGACGTGAGAGCTTTCACTTGGTTGGCAAACAGTGACGCTAGCGACGACACCCATAAAAAGTCGGATGACTCTTTTTTTCCCTCCGTAAACTGACGAGTCCCATCCCTACGCCACCCCCCCCCCAGAAAAAAAAAGTACTGTATTCGTGAGGCTTCACACAGTGGCGAGCGTCAGCCCGTACATTATTAATTCATAACGCTGAAGATCACAAGAATGAATAAGTCAACGCGGATGTCAGAGGTGTCACAAACTGGCTGGCGGGCGCGTTTAGAATTTCCTCCACACCTCGTGTGTCCTAGCAGACGGCTGTCCCCGACCGCAGCCAACACACGAGCTCACACCCGCGTGGGGCAACCCGAACATGACACCGTTTGACTTGACGCGGCGGCGACAATGGGAACAATGATTGAATTTGAAAGTTGGCTGTGCTGCTTTTTTTTTTTTTCCTTCTCATTTGACTGGAAGCAAAGTTTGCTGATATGCCGTCGGGAAAACTCAAGCACAACATGTATAGAGTTCTCCAATCTTTAAGTATGTTCAGATTTATTCGTGGCTCAGTAATGAATGCTACAGCTAATTATTCATGCCATGTGTCCCGTTATTTGAAAGGCATCGTCACCATTACTGTCAAGCGAGAGCGCAATACTCGAAGTACACAAAGGAGGAAAAGTGGTTCAGATGACAAGACTGTCTGTTTTATGTGTTGTGTTGTATTATTTTGTCATTTTATGTTAAGTGTTTTTTTGATGGCGGCGTGGGCACCCGCAGCGGCTCCTCTTGTTGTCTGTTTAAGAGGGAGGAAATGTCATCTGTGCTGTATGCACATACAGCACAGATGACAAAGTTGTACTTGATACTTGATGCAAGGTAATTTTACAAAGGATTTTTTTTCTTTGATTTTCAAAAACGGCTTACTTTGTGAGGTCCTCCGATCACATCCATTTGTCGAATGTTTTACTGAGCATGTGTCAGAGGTGGCGCTGGGTCTTCAGCTCACAGGCTCTGATTTTTTTTTTTTCCTCACCTCATTGAGCATTCCGCATTGTGCCCTTACAGTCATTTTGACCGGATGGCTACTCCTTGGGAGAATAGCAACAGTGCTGACAATCTCTTTTTTACCACACGGATTGATGAACATCAAAGCTTTGTGAGCTACTTTTGTGACCCATTCCAGCAGCATGTAAGTTAACGATTCTTAACCTGATGTGTCTGAGAGCTCTCTTGGATGAAGCATGGTTCACAATGTCCCTTGAGAATAGAAACTTGAAAACTGATGTGTATTTTTAAATAGGGGCCAGGGAAATTTAAACTGCGTCTCCAATCTCGATAAATTGATTGGACAGCAAGTTGGTTGACTCCTGACAACAATGAAATCTTGGAGGAGTCATTAGCCTTGGCCAGGGGTTACAAACCAATTTTTGTTTTGGGCTGCATCGGAGTTTTGGTTCCCACAGATTGTGAACACCATATAAATGTTATCAGGCATATTATTGCATCACTGTGTACATGGTATGTGCCTCACCATTCGATTATTATATATGTGAACAACAATTTGAATTTGAAAGGGATAATGCAATTTCGGTGTGGATTATCTGTTAAGGTGAAAAGAACAAATGACTGTGACTGAGCCCAAGATCATCTCACGCGTTATTGCCAGTTTATCCAGAAATCCAGATCATTTCAAAGGCTTCACGAACGTTTTCTTCCGGCTGGAGATACAAATATAGTCGTCTATTATCTTATAATAGTCCGCGTTATTGGGGTGCTGCATCAGAACAATAGCATAAACATATGAAAACATACAATAATGCATGAAAACTGCAAATATTGTTTCTGTGAAAATGGAGGCACTTGACACATTTTTGCAGGACCATGAAAGGCCAGCAGAGGGCAGCCATTTACCATTTAATTCCAGCCATGGTTCAAGGAGAAACGCGCTGACCACAGACGACGACTGTTGCTTTAAAATATTTTCTAGATTCTAAAATATCTCGGCATGCCCTATAAATTATTATCATTATTAAGTGTAAGTTTAGTCTTCTTTCAACGTATATCTTGCTTGCTGTGATGAGTCAAACCACGAGCGTTACCCTACGAATAAATCTCCATCTTTGAAATGTTACATTCGTCCTGAATGCCAGAGTTCAATTTAGTTCACGTTTGTGCATGAACACACTTATTTCCAAAGGAAAGATAACTCAGAGTCAAAAGAGACTTTTTTTGGTGGAGAAACTACGACCAAAGTGTAACTGAATGACTCAGTGACTTTCCCGGCAAGTGCAATACCGCATATTTACACCAGGAGGAGCCGTACAGATGCCATAAATAGACCCAAAACCCATACAGGAAGTCTGCAGCGCACTTGAATCATATTCTTGTGTCATATCACGGATACGTTAATTCATCTCACCTGTCGAGACACTCCGCAAACTTTGTGTTTATCACCAGGAAATAGAAAACAGTAGGCCAGGCCTTAAGACAGGCATGGATCATGTGGCATTTTTATTTTTTCGACTTCTCTGTCGTCGTTACAAGAATAGCAATGCCGGCCTGTTTTTTTTTGTTTTTTTTAAATGATGACTAATGTTAACTGGGTGATAAGTATGTTTGACATGGGTACTAACAAGAACACTCATCAATCCATTTTCTTCCCCTTTTCCAGGGTCAAGTCGCAGAAGCAGCAACTTCGGTAATGAAGGCTCGTTTTTGCTCTCCCCCAGCCACTTCATCCAGCTCTTAAAATAAGAAAGATACGTACGATACGTGTTCTCCCCATGCTTGCGTGGGTTTTCGATGGGTAATCCGGTTTCCTCCGACATGCCACCGTGCCGCCCTGATTGATCCCACAAGGCCTCAAATCCTCCTCATTTATTAATCCACTCTTCCATAACTTGGCAGTAATGTGGACCTTACTAAAATGTGTAGGCGCGCCGAAAGAAGTGTCCAGTGAACATATTTTTTTTTTCATTTAAATAACAGTCATAACCGACCTCCATCTAACCCCAGCCTTATCTACGCACAACACATCCGTTGCGTCAAACCTCTTCCTTCACTTCTGGGTCAACAACAACCAGAAAACCACACGATTTTATGTACAATATGTACAACATTTATTATAATTAATATATAAAATAGATGATGTACTTCAATTTTCACAATAGAAAAAGTACAATAAATACAAAGACCATTTTTGTTTTGCAAGTATCACAAAACGTCCAGCACAATTTGACAAGAGGTGAGACATTGGAAATACAGATAATAAATGCTTTTTTTGGGAATAACCACACATATTCATAGAGCTAAATATAAGCTTCGTATATTTGAATTATTTTTTAACACAAGTCTAATTGTGTCACGACGTCCGCTGATAAAATTGTAATAACTCATCTCTATGCAGGTTTTTCAAGTGAATACGCTTCACCCCTCAGTTTTCCCCGTCTTTTCTTGACCACTTTCTTTTTCCATCATTCGTCCATCTCCCGATCTCTCACTTCCTCATTTCTCTTCCTCTCTCTTTCAGCTCTGCCTTTCGCATTTTTCCACACGAATAACACACCAAAGTAAAAAAAAAAAAAAATCCCTCCAAGAATCCACTATGGCAATCCAGTACAAATATGGCAAAAAACAGACGTGCACGAATCATCACACAGCAACATGTCCAATGGCTTTGAGCATATTTCTACATCGCTAATAATTAAACATTTCGTGAAGTAGGAATCGTTGTCACACAATACAATTAGACATGAAAATATTCCCCGCCCCCCCCAAAACTATGGAAGTACTGAAAACATACATAACGTCACAGCACTCAGTTAGCTTGTCTTGTCAAAATATCTACTTTTAAATACAAATAAAATATAGAATATATCTCTGATAAATGTCACTCAACATTGGCGTATTGACGGCACAGACAAACATTACAAATAAGAACACGTCAAGAGGAATGTGGGCGGAGTGAGTCGCCGTGTTTTGAGCTAAACAAAAAGACCAACAGTGTGTTGGGGAGTCGAGCAGTCCTCGTTCGCGCTGGGGGGGCTTTCAGCCTGTCCCACCGGCGGCGGGCGAGCCACACTGCAAACGCGTAGCAGAATCGTTACTGCACGGTAGGAACTGTCGGGCGAGTACGTCGTATGCTAGTATAGTCAAGACAGGGGGAAAAAAAGTGTGATGGACGGTCAGCAGTTTTGGTTTGATACCTCCCACACGCACTGAAGGCACTGCGTCGGTGTACAAACCCTGAACATCAAGTTATCCTCAAAGCAGGAGTTCCAAAAAAAATCAACCCCAGCAACAATTGTAAATATATTCTGCTTTGAATACATATTACGGGACATATAAGCCTCTCACGACCCTGTTTTTCCATTAAGGGTAGCGGTAACAGAAAACAAAAATAACCTGGAATGCAGAAGTTTGTAGAACCACGGGGGGAAGCTTAACTGCAAAGTTTTGGTGTGTTTTTTTTTTTTAATTCGTGGTTTTTTGTTTTTTTTTTAATTTTTGGTCACGTTCCCAAAAAGCAGAAGCGGAGGAAGCTTCGCCCTTTCGGTCGCCTAAAACGGCACCGGTGACAGTCGGATTGTGCTTAAGCTGCCAACAGTCAGCAAGGCTTGGCTTCAGTTAGTTTGACCGGTGTACAGTACTATGGAAAAGTCTTGTTTCGGCATTGCCATCATGGCCTTGTTTCAATTTTCATTTGTCAAAATTGGGATTAAAGGGGGTGGGCGGGACGGCGGTCGACTGGTTAGCACGTCGGCTTCACAGTGCAGGATTTACAAGTAAAATCAATCAGATCTAGTTGCATTATATTTTAGCCGTTGATTGAAACATGGTTCAAAGAATTAAGTTGACCATTTACAGGAGTAAAATAGTAAACATCTGCAAGTATTTAACACCACCCGCAATAGATGCCTCACAATAGCAGCAAAGGACTGTTTATTTTGTCAAAATGAAGCTCCTCAACTCACTTCAGTGCCAGAATCCCACCAAAGCCAGTTTTGGCCAAAGCACACAAAGGTGATTTTTTTTTAAAGTTAAAAATGGGTGAAACCCCCCCCCCCCCAAAAAAAAACTCTTCAAATATGGAAACTCCAAAACACTGATTTTTGTAGGTTCATTGTACTACTTTCCTCTGTAATATTTTACCCTGTCAAAAAGAGTGTTAGGCAGGGGTCATTCTGTGGCGCCAAAAAGTCCCCAAGAACCACATGAGTAACCCTTTCTAAAAATAGCTAACCAATGATTGGGACATTGTGATTTTCGAGGAATATTTATACAAATTATTGTTTGAAAATGTAAAAAATAATTTTTCAATTTTTTTAGAAATAAAATCTTTTATATTGATGTTCTTCTGTCTCAAATTGTCGCTCATTTCTAGAGATCAAGCTTAAAAACAAAAAATAAAAATATCTCAAAAACCTGAAAAAATTAATGATACATTTGAAATCAGCATCATAAATACACTACAAGACAAAAAAGTCATCTTGGACTAAAATGTGCTCTTGACTGGTGTAATTTGAGCATTTCAGAAGTGCGTATCAAACTGGGAGCCCTTCGCGATGATCAGTACCCAAGAAATAACTCTTTCAAAAAGGTCGGCGACCCCTGGTGTTAGGGAATGTGTCATTGACGGACGAGCGGTGATCGGTTTCAGACTTTTGCACAGTACTGTACATTCTAACCACGCAAAAAAAATTTCTTTAAAGTGAACATTCGCCAATTATTAAGTAGCAAGCACTTCAACTGAGAAAGAAGCTCGGCTGGTCCTTGATGATGTCACACCATGATAACTCCTGCATGTGGGTACAGCATTGATGTTTTTTTTTTTTTGTCTCATCCTACCAATATTGTTCTTGTGTATGTTTGCGGATGTCTACGTACGTGTGTGTATGTCTCACAGCCCATCAGTCAGTTTATAGAGCCTAGGGAGATTCGTGGTCCCTCTGCGGCGGAGGCTGCGCCGGACTCTTGACGATGGTGATGACGGAGGCAGTGTTAAGGCGCGGCGCGGTGGCCAACAGGTTGCCCCCGCCGGCTTCCAGGCCCCTGGCGAACTTCTGCAGCGCGGCCAGGCGAGCGCCCAGGCCCTCCAGCTCTTTCCTCATGCCGGCGTTCTCGGCCCCCAACCGGTCCACTTCCCTCTGGAGCTCCATCTTCTGCTGTTCCAGAGCTTCGCGCTGGGACACCCGTTTGACCCGGCAGCTGGCTGCATAGCCCCGGTTCTTCAAGGTGCGTCTGCGCTGCTTCAGCTTCTGGATCTCCTCGCGGGACATGCCCCGCAAATGCAGGTTGAGCTCCCGCACCGACAGTGACATGAGTTCGCTGTCTGACAGGAAGGGCACGTTCTCGCCACATTCCTGCTTCACCTGAATGAGTTGGAAGGATGACAAAATGCAAGTGGGTGAAAAAATAAAAAAGAGACTCAACACCTGACACACTAAAAAAAAAAAATGGCTTGTTTTCCTAACCCACTTGCAACAGCTTTACTGATAATCTGGTTACCCATTTCTTGGTAGTGTTAACGCTTCATTATGGGTAGTTCTTACTCTTAGGTGAATCCAAATCTTGAACCAAGGTGACCATGGCACAATATTTTGGCTTTTTTTTTTTTTCGCATTTGAAGTTTACAATGGAGTTGTGTTTTAACAGGTTTGAATGTGTTTAAAGGGAGTACTTTGTAAAATCGGTCAAAACATTTTGATATGGTCTCTACTGCAGTTTTTCAATTATTGTGCTGGTCTGGAAAGTATCACCATCGCTAACGGGTTTTACTGTATTGTGCTGAAAGATTAAATCGTTTTTATTGTTTATTCTGCTGATGCTGAAGGATGAAATCATTTTTATTGTTTATTCTGCTGATTTTTTTGAAAAAGAGATTTTGTTTGCAGTTTCCGGAGTTCAAAGCGCTGCAATGCGCACACCAACAGTAAGGCCCCATTAATAGCTTTTGTAAAATTGCGCCCATATTTTCCTTTTTTTTTTTACACGTGAACACATTACATCATTAGACAAAGATAATAACATTCAACCCCCCCCAGCCCACCCCAAAAAAAATCCTCAATCATTTATTTGATTTTTCTCTCTATTTAAAGTGAAACAAATACGAGAAGGACAAAATATTGGAAAACAGTCAAATGCTTTCCCCGCAATTCAGACATGTACAAGAGTTAAGGTGACTCAAAAGGAAATTATTTTATTAATTCTCTATATGTACTTTTTAAATCGATCGGCCCAATAATAGGTTGTCGAAATTTTATTTCTGCCAATTATCTGAATCAGCACCGGCCTTAAAAAAAAAAATAGAATCCAGATTGGTCGGCCCTACTCAAAATCCCTGATTTTGCATTGGGGGGGGTTAAAATCAAAATAGAATGCGCTCCAACTGTTTCTTGCTTGTGCGTGTTACCTTCAGGGCTTTGCTGTTTCTCTCTGTCGTCATGATCCCACTCTCCTCGGGTTACCCCCCGCCCCCAAGAACCAGTCAGCACAGATTCAGACACTCTGAGAAGAAACAAACAGCATTCAGAAAAGTTGTGTGTGTGTGTGTGTGTGTGTGTGTGTGTGTGTGTGTGTGTGTGTGTGTGTGTGTGTGTGTGTGTGTGTGTTTTTTTAAGTAAGTGGTCACATGCGAGTCAGGGCATCACGCCGTTTTGGTTCTAGCCTGACATTTACGTCCGCTCACAAGATCGCCGGTCATGCAAGGCAGAGAAAAGGAGAAGAAAGGCGCACAGCTCTCATTCCTCCCTCCACACGCGCTCTCGTCTAATTCCGTGGTTTGATATCAGAGGAAGTGTGTGTGTGTGTGTGTGTGTGTGTGTGTGTGTGTGTGTGTGTGTGTGTGTGTGTGTGTGTGTGTGTGTGTTTGTGTTTGTCGTGAAAGTGACAGGCCCCTTTGTTGGCTGGCTGGTGCGGTAAGGGGGAAGTTACCATGGCTTTTTGGCCTTTTGCTTGCTCAAAGCAGGTGTCCTAAGCAACACTTCCTCCTGTCAACACACTGCCAACTGTCCAAAAGCGTTCGCTTGGCGCCTGCCGCTGCAGAAAAATGCGATTTCGCGGTGGTACGTTTCAATTCAACATCAGCATGAAAATGTTATTTTCTTGCACTTAACACCACAATTGTGTTGCCCTTACAAAACACAACATAACAGCACGTAAGTCTGCTGACAAATATATATGTCAGCGAGATAAGAGAGAGAGAAATGCAAAACTGTTGAGAATAAATGAATACATTTCCATGCAACACATTTTGGTTGTATTTTGTAAGCCCAACAGCGAGCTGCGTTCAATCGCTGATGACTTGACGTCCTTGCTTTTCTGCTGACTGATCTTTATTCCTTTCTGGGCCAAGTGTTTGCGGAGCATTATGGTGGCACTAGTATTTGGCACGTCTGCCTCAGCGTTCTGACGTCCGGGATTCACGTGAGCTTTTTTCCCTGAAGACTCTTAAAAAGAGTGAATGTGACTATTAATTGTTGCTTTTCGATATGTGCACTATGATTGGCTGGTAACCAGTTTGGTGTCTACTCTGCCCCTACGCCAGAGTCAGCTGGAATTCTCCAGCTTAGCCGCGACCCAAACAATCTAATGCTAATTGCTAATGCATAATGCAAAACGACACAAACTGACTCACGACACTAACACCAGTGTTGCGGAAGTTAAGACGCTTCAGGCAACAGATATTTGAGCACAAATGGTGCGACAACACATGTAGACAGACAATATAAAAAAAATCTCTCGTGCTGTATTCTTTATCCTCTGCGAAACAAACGAAAAGCAGTTTACCGAGTCTTTTAGGTGTAAAACTCTGAAGTGAATTATTTATGTCTGTATTACGCTGCCCTCTTGTGGCATAATTGCAGTGATCACTGCAGCACGAAATCATGATGCAAAAAGTGTTTATTGTACCTTTATAAGTACAATACTGTAGAGTGTTTTTTTAAGAAAAAAAAGGACATCAGAGATCAAATTAAACTCAATGCACCGCTGTAAGAAGTGTTAAATCAACCATTAAACCACAGTCATTTAAGACTTATTAAACAAAATGAAAATGAGTACAGTCTTATTCACAGATTTCACACCACAAATATTTCCTAATGATGAAGGGACAAATGCTACCACTTTGTTGCGTTAACCAAAATAGAATAAGCCAAACTCAAACTAAGTATGGGCATTTGGGTAACATGGAACTCATGCTTACATTAGCAGAAGTGTTTGTTTAACCGCGCGGCGTCTTTGAGCAGCTCTATTTAGAAACGTTATCATCTTATCTAACATTAAGTCCACACAGGCCGTGTGTGACTTCCTACATTCCTCTTAAGTTCAGTTGTTTTCGGGTGGGGGTCAGCCTGCGGGTTATGTCGGGTCACTGTCACGATGACTTTAACGAGAGGTTTTATGCCGGGGCTAGAAAAAGCACGCAGGCCCATAGTGGCAACAGTGTCTGCGGCATGGCGACAATACCTTTCATTGTGTGAGGCGGTTATTTTTTTTTTTTTTCTCGCTTTCAGGTTGAGAGGAGAAGGAAGTGTGCTTCGTGTGAAAGAATTGTCAGCGCACACTTCCTTGTTGATGTTGACCTTCCGTTATTTCACCTCAGTAAGCACTTCGATCCCCATAAAGCATGCGATGCGGTATCGCAATTAGATTTGTTCAACAAGGTGTGTCAGAAAAATTCTGGGATTGTGCCTCGTGACTGCTCACAATGCCCCGAGCATCTGACAGTTCCTGGTAGAGAGGAACATCACCGTGCTGCAGTAATCTCCCACTCACCCACCCTGAGTCTAATCCTCCCCTCCCACCCCCCTTGTTTTTCAAGATACAGGAGGTCTTCAATGGGATCCGTTTTGAAAATGTGAATGACATCATGAGGCCCGTGAGAACGGAGCTGTGGCAGATCTCCCCAGGGGGTATGAGGGAGAGAAGGCTTGAAGGCGGTAGTTGTAGTTTTGGATTTGAAATACCTTGAAATTTTCTGACACACCTTGTTGTGTGTATTCAATATACTCAGTGATTATCAAAGTTTTTAATTATATTACATTTATGTGTTCCTGGCAATCCAATAGGTTCTGATGGACATGAAATCTAAAGAAAGGCTCAAGAAAAGGCCACCAAACCTAGTTTGGTATGTAGACTCTGCGAAACTATAGGATTAAATATGGAAGACATCCAATCGACATAATTCATGCAGTGCACGAGAAATTTATAAGACAAGGGCAGTGTCTGTGTCGGTGTATTCTACACTATTCGTTTGCTTTTGTAACGAATCACATTGTGTAAGGGCTGAATGGACACCCTGTACTTTCTCCAGCAAGTATGATAATGATCTATTTTATTCTTTTATTCACTTTCATTTTCTTTCTTTCTTTATGAAATAGCTCGTCGCTCATTTTGGTGTTTACCTGAACTAACCTGCTGGTGTTCGGTGTCGTTTTACACCACATTCCATGTACATTAGCGAACACTACTTGGAGTCAGAAATTCAGTCAATTAGGCTTAAGTCCATTTCCCTCAAGGGTGAACGAGCTCAAAGCACGTGTGGGCTTCCAAAATAAGGAACGACTACTGTTTATAATATGAAACCGACAACGCTCTGTAATTTTGCATACAGTTGCTGGAATTTCCCGAAAAGCGTGGGGCGTGAAGTGGCCGCAACCGCACTAGGCGTCCCAACAGCCGGTGGGACTGTAAACTGTCGTTTCGTAAAGTCATGGTGATTCAGCAATACACCAATCGCCCCGCTAAAAGCTAAACCGGCCTCGACCAGTCAACAATCCAAGCAAAACTAGCCCGTGATCCGTTGCTATATTTGTCACAAGACTACGGGATATCCGCGCATATGCTCGGCTAAAAATACCACCTAAGAAGGGCTGTGAGGGTTTTACATGTAAGTTTACCGAACCCGAGAGCAACAAGCGAACGCAACGTCGCCACGCAACAACGACACTATTTTAAAACGCTTACAATGCCTCGTATGTACACGACTCAAGAGAAAATATTTTCATTGCCACTTCCTTCTGTATGTCAGACGATCTGGCCAGTTTAGGGTAGTAAACAGCCATAGGAGCTGTATTCGACATCCATTTTAGCATGACTGTAAAACTGTGATGTTATTACAAATGCTGAAGCGAGTAATTACACCCATTACGAAATCCAATTTGTTCGGCAAATAGCGCGATGTAATATTATGATTAGTGGCAGAGAATATACATCACCCACGCTGTTTTGAACGTGCTAGTAATTCGAGCTATTAGCATCTTTAGCATCAGTGGTGTCGGCTACGAAAGATTAAAGTAAACAGCTGCCCACTCACTTGTCCTTGGGTTATTTAGCGAATTCCCGATGATTACGCTTCCTCCGTTCTTGTTGGGATCGACTCGCAAAAAAAACTATTCAGTGGCTGCGTAGTTCTGAAATGTGACAATTTCACCACTGCCTCTAAGCGACAAAATGTCAGTCCGCCTTTTCCCGGAATGACTTCGCTGCTCTCTGAGGTGGGATTCTTTCATTCATAAAAAAAAGGCGAATTCCCGATGATTACGCTTCCTCCGTTCTTGTTGGGATCGACTCGCAAAAAAAACTATTCAGTGGCTGCGTAGTTCTGAAATGTGACAATTTCACCACTGCCTCTAAGCGACAAAATGTCAGTCCGCCTTTTCCCGGAATGACTTCGCTGCTCTCTGAGGTGGGATTCTTTCATTCATAAAAATTGTCTTGGTTCTGTTCAAGTCATGTTTTGTTTCTCATAGTCGTGATTCAGTTACTGATATTTTGTTACTTTGAAGTTTGATCTTTTCAAGACTTTGTTAATGCTTTCGATTCAGTTTTTCCAATGTTTTGTTCATACATTTTGTTCAGTCCACCTTGCTTTTCCTGCCTGCCTGCTTTCTGGGGCCTCTACCATCATGATGACGAATAAAAAGGAAAAGTAAAAATGCACCGAATTCAGATAACATGATCGGGCAAACTTATTCATGAGAGCAGTATCGGGGAAAAAAAAGAGATAATTCAGATCAGTTTTCCCCTAACTTTATTTGTGTGTTTAAATTGCACAAGCTCAATCAAAAGATTTCAGTTGTTTTGCTGATACATTTTATTGGATTTTATTTTTAATATTTGGAAATTTGAAAGACAGTTTTCAATCACATATATCGATGAAATCTTTTTTTATTTATTTGTATTTGTCATACCAGTATTTTATGTCATACGGTTTGGTTAAAAATTTCCCCCCAAAAGTATGAGCTTTACTGGAACAAAATGTCCCAAAAATATTTGAGCTTTGTTGATACTCATAAAAAGTGTCACTGAAATTTTTTTGAAATAACCGAATCAACATAGTTTATGTAGTTGTAGGCTATAACATGCCAGTGACTTGTTTGTGTCTCTTGTTTGCCGACCTGACAACTTAAACATGTTGCAATATATGCTATGTTTTTTTGCTGGGGGAAAAAAAAACTTTCCTTATTTATTTTAAGATGTGTAATCACCAGGAATACAGCTGCTAACTTGATGGATCGACCAAACACAGAAAATATCTTTAATTTGTGGAACTGAATCGTGAGGAGCTTGACTCTTTTCCCCTCTTAAGACCACCCACGCTTCCTTTAAATCTGCTAATTTTAGATGCAGGGTTCAAATCGGGGAAACCAAATGTTTTGATGTTACAGAATGAAAGACGACGCTGCGTTGCTGCACTTTGGGGCTCATGGTGTGAGTCGAATATATTGGTTTGCTGTTGAAATGATGCACTTTCTGGACTTTCTGCGGTAAATGCAACTTTTCAATTTGCTCTCCAGATAGCGTGATATTTTGATTTCTGTTCCTTGAATATAATAATCATGTCTTGATGAGAAGAAAGCAAACGCTGATCGTCCCCCTTCAAACGCCACACGCGTCTGAAAGAGAGCAGGTGAAATGTTATCAGATGATATCAGCTGGATGTCTTTTGAACCTTTTGCTGAAAACACAGATGACGGAAAACGGTGTAACGTCATCTATGAAGCCCACGTGGGGGGGAAAAAACACTGAGTGATTCATGCAAAGAGTTTAAGACAGCAAAAATGTTGCTCAGTGATCAAACCTCCGTGGTGAATTTCCACATCGCAGGGGCCCCCCCCTTGATTTGTCGACTCTTCCCCCACCCCCTCATGCCAGCCAGTCAACTACAACTACTTTCACATTTGCTTTCCTGATTCAATCGCCGGCATGCTGTTTGTTTCTACAAAGGATGCAATCGGACGGTTTGCATGTGGACTACCATTTAATGCTTGTGAGAGTCGATGGGGATGCACCTAGTGTTCTCTGAATCATATCGCTATGTCTTGGTCGTTGGGTGATCACATGCAAACGGTGCACAGCGCTGACCTGGGTGAGAAGGCATAATGAGGATTGAGCACTCACTTACAGTCATTTAGTGGAAAAGAGTGGCTTTCAAAATCCCCATGATGGGACACTCCCATCACTGACATTTTTGGTTCAATTCATCTCAGCACCTGACACAATTAAATGTGTAAGTGTGGAGAGTTTAGCTTTGTGTGCATGCCAAACTCATTGTTCCCACGCATTATTTTAGATTCGCCTATGCGGGGATTTATAAACATTGCTTTTTTTCTTGTCCAGAGAGGCAAACCGTGACGTAATTAGCACAATGCTACTACGTCTGTTGTGTTTGGTTTTGCCATGTTAAATTGGATGGAAAGATGCTTTGCATGAAGCCAGAGTAGCTGTTGTGTCAAAAGACCTTAAGAGTTAATTGCTCGTCATGCTCGCAGTTGTGGTGTTTAACGCTACACGGCAAAGGCTGAATTTAGCATGCTAACATGCTAACGTCATGCTCGCAGTCGTGATTTTTAGCGCTTCGCAGCAAAGGCGGAAGTTAGCATGCTAATATGCTAACATCATGCTCACAGTCGTGATGTTTCATTCTACACCAGCGAAAGCTGATGTTAACATGCTAACATGCTAGTCATTGAACGCATCAGAAAGAACTAAGTTTGTGGGTGTAGTGTAGTTTGTCAGATGATTGATTTGATAAAAATAAAGCAGAATCAGACTGTAGATAAGTCTCCGTTACTAAACTTTATTCAACCAAGGCATAAACGGTATTTCTAAATGACCAAAAAAACCTACGTCACACCACCGATTAAAAATGTCACAGAAAATGGATGAACACGTTAATTGCCATCTAATGGAAGAGCACATCATTTTTCTACTTGCCATTATCCGTCTGAGGCTTAGTTAAATGAATGAAGAATCGACAGCAATAATTATTGGGCCAAGTGAAGTACAATTAACGAGTATTTTAGTTATATTTTGTTACACATCAAATAAAATGGAAATAAGACTTGGGTGAGGTAAGATGTGGCTCTGTTGGGTGTGTGTTTCTTTCAGCTTGATGAGACCCTGGTAGAGAGGCTGTGGGGCCTGACAGAGATGTTTCCTGACACTGTCCGCACAGCTGCTGAGTTCTCAGCACAGTGTTCGGTCTCACTGGCCAAGAAGTTTTACAGGTATATTTGCTTCCATTTTTGTAGTCAAGCTCACCGACAGCCATCTGGTCTATCTTTGCATCATTGTTCATTTTTTTCACGTTCAAATGCCAAGGGTTCTGATGCTTTCCATCATGCTTTATTCAAGTTTTTCTCGCTCGGCCCTCTGGGTGGGAACAACTTCCTTCATGATCCTGGTGTTGCCTGTGGTGTTTGAAACGGAGCGGCTACAGCTGGAGCAGCAGCAGTTACAGCAGCAGAGACAGGTGATTTGTACATCGCGAACAACCATGTCAACATGACAACATATGTGATTATTTTAATTGTACCCAGAGCTGATAATGTGTAAATATGTGTGAAAGCCATCTGCTTTTCTGCCCCATAATACAATGTTGTCTCCTTGAGTGAAAATACATTGGAATCTGTATGGGCACTTGCGTTATGGGGAAGTGGAGTGTATATGGTTAAGTTAGCCAGCAGTGGCTTTACGCATGCTCTATTCATTTGCAGTGTGGACACCAATGTCTTCCTAAACATCTGTTAGGAGGAAGTCTCACAGTCTCTAGAAAGCTTCAATAACATAATCATAGCTTTAATTTGGACTAGTTGTCAGAGATTTGCTAAAAATGGTGGCAAACTTGCTAAATTGGCAAAACTGAGCATCCATTCGCTTGGTCGACCTTCCGGTTGTCATGGTAATGAAATTGGAACCTGGCATTTGCACAAGGCAGACCCCCACCCCCAAAACGGTGTGATTTGACCAAGCGTGTGACAATTGGTAAGAAAAATAACCCCATCTGGTGGCAACAAAGAAGTACTGCTAACCAATTCAGTATGCAACATTTTTTGGACCCAGTAATAAAATACATACGTTGTTCCCACCTCATGTTTTTTAAGAGTCTAATAGAAATGGACGGTACACGATTAACATATAACTTTTTTCTCCTTAGATCTTGTTGGGGCCCAACACCGGAATCTCTGGTGGGATGCCAGGCATGATGCCGTCAGCCCCGGGAAAGATCTGAGGACCATGCATTGCCCACTTCAAGCTTGGATGTGCTGTCACAATAATGCTGGGCTTGTGGCCGCAAGGGGCGACATAGAGACTGTGCAGAAACGCAAAGAACTGCCGCAACAAACAAATTTAAAAAAAAAAGGGCCTAAGCTTCACACAGGTCTTCACATATGTGTTTCACTGTCTCTCCTTCCTCCAACAGCTTGCAGAGACTGATTTTCAGGAGCACTGCTTCCATCTTTTTTTTTATTTTAAATATACTGTATGTGTAAATGCGTTTATGATCTTGACTTAAGTGTTGTAAGGGAAATGAGGAAAATGGGCTACAGTGAAGGAAGGGGCAGTTAAAGGTTACACACTGAGTCAGTTTTTTGATGTCTGAAATGGCTTCCATGATCTGAATCATTCCTCCACATGTAAGAGCAGGATATGTATGCTGGTCTGAGTCATGTGGTGACATTATTACATTTAATATTTGTTGAAAGGAAATAAACATGTCTTGGAAGCTTCTGAGATCTTAATGAGGCTCTGCTGGGTGTTGCCTTCCTGCTGTACTCTGATTGTTGTTCTGAAAAGACCATTATAGAACAATATAATCATGTTTCGTTTTAAGTGTTGTCTTCAATGTGTTGCTCAAAAAAATATTTAGGTTTTTGGAGCTACCCCATCAGGTGAGTCATCTCGTTCTGGGCGTCCAGCAAAGATAAGGACAATGTTAGCTGGCTTTAACTTTAATATGAAATTTCTCTTCACGAAACAAGCTTGAAGTGCTGTTTGTAAGCAGCACAATTCTCAGCAGCGATTCCAGGTCAGTGTATTACATGTACTGTAAAGGCAACTAATCGGAAATGACATATGAAGGAATGCACAATCATTGGTCTCATTTAGACGTGGTTTTCAACATTTATTGAACATCTCTTGTAGACCCCAACTGCTATTCACTGTACTTTTTTGAGTGCTTGGGAGACCATATCATAATCATAATGGAAAGTATTGCACTACTGCTGTCCAAAATTAAAAACTATTTCCGAATGTTGTCCATGACGAATGGGTATTTGAATTAATTACTTTGATCGAATTTTGGAAAAATTAGCAATGTCAATCTGTATTACAAGATTACATCCTTCCATGGGCACATAGAGGCAAGAATTGATCCTCACATTCACACCAAGGGACAATTAATAGATTGACAGACATCTGCCTTTCATGACGGTCTGGGCTCCAAATAGTCGGCCACTTTTGTGGTGTTCAACTTTGGAGGTTCTGCTGCATGAGGCGAACTTGTGAGTGAAAAGGCCGAGGTTTAAGGGATGCTAGCATGGGGAACCTCACCTCATTCAATCATTTTCTGATACTGTACACTGATTTTGGATGCCTCTTGTTTATCGTAACGAGTCCTTTTTTTGCTCTTCCTTCAGGTGAACATCAGATGGAGCTATTGGACTTTGTGGCAGCCACATTTTATGAGGAAAGAGGGGCCTTCAAGCTTTTGAAGAGGAGCAACTTTATTCATGAGTGCTGGGCTTTACTTTTGTATAATGTGATTCATACAGTTGAGGTTTCTCATATGTGTGCTCTTTAGATTATTGACGCCATCGTGGCTCTGTTCAGAGATGACTTCCCAGGCCCAGGTCAATTGGCAGAGTGGCAGCAGAAACTGGCCCAGATGCTCTCCAGGTTGAAAAAAATTTCTGAATGTCTGAACCGGCACTGCGTTTCTTTCATCGGAGTGTGGGTGCTATCGCTGAGGAGACTAGATTTTAATCTGCATAGTTTAGTCTCTTTTTAGGTTTGTACTTCCAAGAATGTTTCAACTACATTTGGGAATCTTGAGGAGTAGTAGAAGGGAAGCAGGATGGAGGAATTAAAAAAAAACAAGTTAAAAGATGTTAAAAATCGCGGTGCATGAACTGTACTCTGCTTAAAATGTTTTTTGTTTTGTTTTTAAATGGTGTGTGCTCCACTTAAAGCACCGAGATTACAGATGAATCAGAATCAGATTCATGGGCCAAGTATGGCCGCTACAGCTTCTTGTTTGCTTTCAAACTTGGCTTGCAGCAGACGTGTGCTCATTTTCAACATGACGTCTTTGATCCACTGGTGAAAAGGACACGTTGATTCGCTCCTCTTCCCATCTGTAACTGCTTCAAACAACAAAGTGAATGCAGACGCTTCCACCACAAGGTTGAGTCTGAGGAAGGGACGCGCTGAGATGAGAATTGCCAAAATATTTAAGAGGTATAGCAATGCATCGCTTTCACAACAAAATCACAGATTGAAACTCCGTATTCATTCCACAAGCATATGCATAATTTTCAAATGTCTTCATTTGTTTTGCCAGCCCAGATATGCCGCAGAATGAGACTACTTTTGCCATCACAGCTGGAGGAATTGTTGATGCGAAAGAGTGACGGACAAACAGATAAATATTTCATCGTTTGCACAGTTAGCTGTTTCAAAATATATTTTTGACGACTATTTCATAATTTTGTTCCATGTTCCGGTGTATTTATTCAATCTGTCACCTTGTCAATGATTTTACACAATAAAACTGAGATAGTCTTCAATGTGACACAATCTGACTCGACCTACATACACATTCGGGTTACGTAGCCGCCGTACGGCGCTGAGTTCCGTCGTAAACCGGACATCACGACCAGCAGAGGACCGTTGGTGACCTCTAGCGGTAGCCACAAGACTTACATCGACTAAACGCAACTCCTCGTCAGCTGCGCGCTCCATATGCCTGTCAAAGCAGCATAGCAATGGGAAGTTCACCAACAGCGCTGTCAAGTGTTTAAACCTACTCGTAACTAACCGCGTTTTTTTTTAGTAGAACAACAAACATCTCCCAGCTCTACCGGCAAAGGTTATTGCTCAACTCTCGTTAAAAAAAAAAGAGGAGAGATGGACCCGAGAGACACAGCTCCGGATTCGTGGGAGCTGGAAGAAGACGCCGAGGCCCCGGCCACCTCGGCGGCTCTCCCGTGCGCCTTCGCCGCACTCAACGTCAACGCCAAGCCGTTTGTCCCCAACCTCAACGCCCCGGTGTTCGTGCCTACCTCCATTCAAAGCACCGCTGCCGGAATGCCTCCTTCCGACGGTAAGGTAACACGAAAGCTAGAAAGCAGTTTGGAACTTAGCCTAACTTGCTAACTATCTTGCTAACGTAGCTAGAGTTAGCCCGTTTCTCGTGGCTCACTTGCAACACGTCGACTACGTGTCGTCACCAGTTACAGCTCATTCATGACTGTGATTACTCCCCACACTTTCTGAAACGTGGCCAGCATTATGCGATTAATATCAATGATATTTTCAAAATGTTTTGTTTTTCCTTCCCTTTCAGGTACCCCTGATCCAGTTGGTAGCAGCATGGAGGTGGCACAGACAGTCGGTATGCAGGCACAATGAATGAACTATAACGACTAAATGTGATTGTCGTCAGGTTACAAAACCGCGTGATGTGAACTCAGGAGGTGTGCGGGTGAAGTACCAGGGTGCGCCCGCTTTCTCGCAGTCATGTTTGAAACGTCAAACTCATCAGGAATGCCAGGGGGCTCTGTTCAAGTTTCACATAGTGAGCCTTATTTGGATTGCTGGCATTGGGCAACCACAAGGCACTGCCTTGTGTGAATGTTATGATGCAACCTCACTGCTCCACTTCCCGACATAGACTTTTCATTGGCTTACGTTGCACGACCAAGGTTCTCACTTTGGATTTTCACTTTTGACAATTTGTGCCCAGCAGATTAAACATTAGTTGGTTATGTCAGAGGTGGGCAAAGTATGGTGACATTCTCATGCCCACAGAGGATTTACATTAACTAGACCAGTGATTCCCACCCTCTATTGAACCAAGACACATGGTTCAGATACAACGTGTGTCAGAAGAGTTCCGTTTCAAACCAAAACTAGAACGTTTTGAGAAACGTTGGTTCCAGAGTCAGCCAGTGACTTGTCTGTTCGCAGCTCCAGTTGAGAACGGCAGCTCAGAGGCAGACATGGCAGCCGACGACGAGACGTGGGAGCTGAACGATGAGCCGGGCGGAGGCGGGGGTGGTGGCGGACAGGAGGACCCGGCCGCGACGGGGGATTGTCCGCCCTACGCTGACAGCCAGGAGGATGAGATGATCATGGAGGAGGAAGAGGAGGAGATCCCTATGCCTAAAGTGGCGCCTTCAACGCCAGATGCGCCCAAGAAAGAACATGTGAATGTTGTCTTCATTGGTCACGTGGGTGCGTAACCTTAGCGGCATCGTCATTGATGAATGATGACTGCAAAACCACAGTTTAATATGATAACCATCATTTTTATTTGACCGTCAGATGCTGGAAAATCAACGATTGGTGGACAAATAATGTGAGTAAACATTGCGAAGTCATCTTCCACATTTGACTTCTGTGTCCAAAAGCAAAACTGCAGTTCGCACTTGCTGCACGCTATCCATTCCAGCATGGAGTTTAATGTTTTCCTCTCTCTGAGTGACTGTCCTGCAATAGGAGCCAACAGGATATTTAATTGCACATTATGGAAGATAATTCCTAGTTGATATTTGTGTGTGTGTTTCTCTCAGGTATTTAACTGGAATGGTGGAAAAACGAACTTTGGAAAAATATGAAAGGGAAGCAAAAGAAAAAAACAGAGAGACATGGTGAGCACAGCTTGGGTTCTATTTTCGAAGTGTCCAAATCTAATTTTATGCCGATTGTTATATGAATGTGTTTTAATGGATCAACTTCATCTACATCTTTATTGACACACAGTCTACTAATGCTGCATTTACATTTATGAAACAACTCAAATAGCACAGATGCCTAAATTTCACTTAAATGACTCCACAAGCGAGTCGTGAAATATTGGGAGTAAATCCAAATACTTAAATAATACAAGTTTCAACTGTTACATCCCCTTTCTTTGGCTTTTTGCTCACTCGTCCTCCATTAACTTCAATGAGCCTTACCTTAATGGCTAATTTGATCCCCTACCCCCAAAGAAGGTAAAAATTTGCCGATTTATTTCCCTGTCATTGATTAAAATGGGACAATCTTAGCACCAGCTTTCATGATAACAATCTGTGCTCATGGGAAGCTCCCGGCCAAACAAAGAGTCATTTATATGTCACAAAAGCCACCGTGTGTGTAAAAGGCATCCTCCCAAATGACTTTTAAAAGGTCTTAGCGTCACAACTAACACAATAAATACAATTAAGTGACTAACACCTTAAGCATGAGGCCAACGCACAGACTTACCTCCCAACGAATGACCTCACTTCTGCAACAACGCATTACAGCGATCAGTTTTCACAAAATACTACCCAGTTGTAACTAAAATTACTATTTTCACACAATATTTTGGAGGAAAAAAAACATCCAGACTTTCAATATATTGGACATGCCACATGGTAAGATAACGGGCAAGCTGCAGACCAGTAGTATCGATTTTTGAAATAATTAAATTTACTATTTTTGGACATACGGGATTTCAGCACGACAGCGGCGATATTATACCTTGAGTGACTATTCTCGTGGCTGCAGGTACCTGTCGTGGGCTCTGGACACAAACCAGGAGGAGCGAGACAAAGGAAAGACTGTGGAGGTGGGAAGGGCATATTTTGAGACGGAGAAAAAACACTTCACAATCCTGGATGCCCCTGGACACAAGAGCTTTGTCCCCAACATGATCGGAGGAGCGTCACAAGCCGATCTGGCTGTCCTGGTGAGGTTGACTTCGATCTTAATTCGGTCGTTTTGATCAGACGTGCACATTTTCATGCATGGATGCTAACGCAGCCTTGTCCACTTCCTGTGGTCAGTTCGTCTTTTAGCATGTCGCATAAAGGATGCTAATGATCGTATTGACTGCTCCGAAAAATACTTTATAAAAATGATCTTACTGAAACCCACTGACGTCACTTATAAAGTAAAACAGTACATCATTCATGAATTTACACTGGAGTTCTGTTGCTATAGTAACAAAAATTTACTACGCTTTTACATGAGTAAAGTCCGCAAAAAAAACTATTCAGTGGCTGCGTAGTTCTGAAATGTGACAATTTCACCACTGCCTCTAAGCGACAAAATGTCAGTCCGCCTTTTCCCGGAATGACTTCGCTGCTCTCTGAGGTGGGATTCTTTCATTCATAAAAAAAAAAGAGAAAAAAAAAACAAGCGACAATGACGTCAGGGTCAAAGAATGAGGGCGGAGTTACGTCCGCCCCCGCCGCGTACTCCGCGAGGATGTAAACAAGGAATCCCTGCATCTCTCCAAAAAACAGGAATAAAAACACTGGCTATTTACGTGAACGTAGAAAAGTCAAACATGCTTTCAACATCAAACAAGTGTGAGAGTTTAAGTCAATGTTGCGTAACTTTGTCAAGTTAATATTTTACAGCTTGTTATCGTTTTGGTCATGTCAAGGAGTCGTGCCACGCTTTGCAAACTTTTGAAAATTTTCAAACGGACAGAGAGATAAACCAGGTCATTCGTTTCCCCCCGCCCACCTAAAATTAACAAAAAGGTCGTCTTTTATCCTATTTTTAATTTAATTCAAACAATCAGTTCATTGATTTGGCGCAGGTAATTAATTATTTGAAACATTTATTTTTAAATATTGAAATAAGATATGAGAGATAAGTTTCACATTGTTGATTTAACTTATTTTAAAACGAAATGAATACGAAAACAAGAATGCTTTATTGTACTCATGTTTTCATTGGCTTTGAATCATATATTTACCAATATGAGTAAAATAAACGCGCATTGTTTTACTTTTTAGATGTTAAAAAAAATCTAATTAAAATGAACAATTCATGAAATAAAATTAATGCATCAATAATAAATAGGATCCTTAAGTATTTAATTACAAAATATTTTTAAAATAATAAACTTTAAAAATATAGCAATGGTAAAATAAACACTTTATTGTTTATTTTAGAACCACGTTTGAAATGATAACAAAAGCTTAGTAAAATAGACATGCACAGTACATCATGTTTATTTTTACTCACGCTTTCATCGTGTTAATTTTACAAATGTTCTAAGAACACAACAACAAATCTATTTTAAACAAACAATTTTAGGGGAAATGGCTACATTAATGCAACATGTATTACATGACTTTAATGAACATGTAAATGCCTAGTGTGGAGTATTGTGTAGTTAAATATCAAAGAGTGTCATAGCCGTATTGGGTCGACACGGCCTAAGATACTATTATACTGTATACTTTGTCTAAAAATGTGTTCCTATTCAGTACAATGTGACATATTCACACCATGTACCTTGGTCAGAGTACTGTTTACACTCAGGTACTGCTAAATGCTTTAACGTGTTTTGGATCCATGCTCAGCCGATGTTCCATAAGGGAACTGGTTTAGCGAAAACAAGTTATTTTTGGTCAGTTCAAAACATCATCAGTGGTTGCATTAAGTCATCCAGACGCTAGAGAGCGCTGCTTTATTTGGCCGACGGACCAAATGACCTTGTCAGACGACGTCACCGAAACTGACGTGCACACACGCATGCGTTCCGCCGGTGACCTCAGAGTCGCATAGATGCACGTTTGCTAGCATTAGTTGTAGCATTAGCTGTTAAAAATTTTGTCATTGAACAATCGACATCGTTGTGTTGTTTGTCGAGCTCGGTTGCATTGCGCGCTGCTTGACCGACGAGACATTTTTGTAGCGTGACAGAAGAGAGAACACATGGCCGGAATCGAGGAGCTTTCCCCGGCTGCGGGCCCGGTGGCTACCCGGCCACCTGAGGACGAAATCGACGACGATGACGATGATGTGAGTTCCCAATCAGTCTATGGTTCATGTTGAACTTATCTATGACACAAAGTTGTATTTATTTGTTTAGAGTTTCGATCTAAAGCAGCAGTAACTCTGCAGTCAAGCTAAGTAGCTAGCTCACTTCTGCAGAATCAGACTGTAGATAAGTCTACGTTACTAAACTTTATTCAACCAAGGCATAAACGGTATTCTAAATGACCAAAAAAACCTACGTCACACCACCGATTAAAAATGTCACAGAAAATGGATGAACACGTTAATTGCCATCTAATGGAAGAGCACATCATTTTTCTACTTGCCATTATCCGTCTGAGGCTTAGTTAAATGAATGAAGAATCGACAGCAATAATTATTGGGCCAAGTGAAGTACAATTAACGAGTATTTTAGTTATATTTTGTTACACATCAAATAAAATGGAAATAAGACTTGGGTGAGGTAAGATGTGGCTCTGTTGGGTGTGTGTTTCTTTCAGCTTGATGAGACCCTGGTAGAGAGGCTGTGGGGCCTGACAGAGATGTTTCCTGACACTGTCCGCACAGCTGCTGAGTTCTCAGCACAGTGTTCGGTCTCACTGGCCAAGAAGTTTTACAGGTATATTTGCTTCCATTTTTGTAGTCAAGCTCACCGACAGCCATCTGGTCTATCTTTGCATCATTGTTCATTTTTTTCACGTTCAAATGCCAAGGGTTCTGATGCTTTCCATCATGCTTTATTCAAGTTTTTCTCGCTCGGCCCTCTGGGTGGGAACAACTTCCTTCATGATCCTGGTGTTGCCTGTGGTGTTTGAAACGGAGCGGCTACAGCTGGAGCAGCAGCAGTTACAGCAGCAGAGACAGGTGATTTGTACATCGCGAACAACCATGTCAACATGACAACATATGTGATTATTTTAATTGTACCCAGAGCTGATAATGTGTAAATATGTGTGAAAGCCATCTGCTTTTCTGCCCCATAATACAATGTTGTCTCCTTGAGTGAAAATACATTGGAATCTGTATGGGCACTTGCGTTATGGGGAAGTGGAGTGTATATGGTTAAGTTAGCCAGCAGTGGCTTTACGCATGCTCTATTCATTTGCAGTGTGGACACCAATGTCTTCCTAAACATCTGTTAGGAGGAAGTCTCACAGTCTCTAGAAAGCTTCAATAACATAATCATAGCTTTAATTTGGACTAGTTGTCAGAGATTTGCTAAAAATGGTGGCAAACTTGCTAAATTGGCAAAACTGAGCATCCATTCGCTTGGTCGACCTTCCGGTTGTCATGGTAATGAAATTGGAACCTGGCATTTGCACAAGGCAGACCCCCACCCCCAAAACGGTGTGATTTGACCAAGCGTGTGACAATTGGTAAGAAAAATAACCCCATCTGGTGGCAACAAAGAAGTACTGCTAACCAATTCAGTATGCAACATTTTTTGGACCCAGTAATAAAATACATACGTTGTTCCCACCTCATGTTTTTTAAGAGTCTAATAGAAATGGACGGTACACGATTAACATATAACTTTTTTCTCCTTAGATCTTGTTGGGGCCCAACACCGGAATCTCTGGTGGGATGCCAGGCATGATGCCGTCAGCCCCGGGAAAGATCTGAGGACCATGCATTGCCCACTTCAAGCTTGGATGTGCTGTCACAATAATGCTGGGCTTGTGGCCGCAAGGGGCGACATAGAGACTGTGCAGAAACGCAAAGAACTGCCGCAACAAACAAATTTAAAAAAAAAAGGGCCTAAGCTTCACACAGGTCTTCACATATGTGTTTCACTGTCTCTCCTTCCTCCAACAGCTTGCAGAGACTGATTTTCAGGAGCACTGCTTCCATCTTTTTTTTTATTTTAAATATACTGTATGTGTAAATGCGTTTATGATCTTGACTTAAGTGTTGTAAGGGAAATGAGGAAAATGGGCTACAGTGAAGGAAGGGGCAGTTAAAGGTTACACACTGAGTCAGTTTTTTGATGTCTGAAATGGCTTCCATGATCTGAATCATTCCTCCACATGTAAGAGCAGGATATGTATGCTGGTCTGAGTCATGTGGTGACATTATTACATTTAATATTTGTTGAAAGGAAATAAACATGTCTTGGAAGCTTCTGAGATCTTAATGAGGCTCTGCTGGGTGTTGCCTTCCTGCTGTACTCTGATTGTTGTTCTGAAAAGACCATTATAGAACAATATAATCATGTTTCGTTTTAAGTGTTGTCTTCAATGTGTTGCTCAAAAAAATATTTAGGTTTTTGGAGCTACCCCATCAGGTGAGTCATCTCGTTCTGGGCGTCCAGCAAAGATAAGGACAATGTTAGCTGGCTTTAACTTTAATATGAAATTTCTCTTCACGAAACAAGCTTGAAGTGCTGTTTGTAAGCAGCACAATTCTCAGCAGCGATTCCAGGTCAGTGTATTACATGTACTGTAAAGGCAACTAATCGGAAATGACATATGAAGGAATGCACAATCATTGGTCTCATTTAGACGTGGTTTTCAACATTTATTGAACATCTCTTGTAGACCCCAACTGCTATTCACTGTACTTTTTTGAGTGCTTGGGAGACCATATCATAATCATAATGGAAAGTATTGCACTACTGCTGTCCAAAATTAAAAACTATTTCCGAATGTTGTCCATGACGAATGGGTATTTGAATTAATTACTTTGATCGAATTTTGGAAAAATTAGCAATGTCAATCTGTATTACAAGATTACATCCTTCCATGGGCACATAGAGGCAAGAATTGATCCTCACATTCACACCAAGGGACAATTAATAGATTGACAGACATCTGCCTTTCATGACGGTCTGGGCTCCAAATAGTCGGCCACTTTTGTGGTGTTCAACTTTGGAGGTTCTGCTGCATGAGGCGAACTTGTGAGTGAAAAGGCCGAGGTTTAAGGGATGCTAGCATGGGGAACCTCACCTCATTCAATCATTTTCTGATACTGTACACTGATTTTGGATGCCTCTTGTTTATCGTAACGAGTCCTTTTTTTGCTCTTCCTTCAGGTGAACATCAGATGGAGCTATTGGACTTTGTGGCAGCCACATTTTATGAGGAAAGAGGGGCCTTCAAGCTTTTGAAGAGGAGCAACTTTATTCATGAGTGCTGGGCTTTACTTTTGTATAATGTGATTCATACAGTTGAGGTTTCTCATATGTGTGCTCTTTAGATTATTGACGCCATCGTGGCTCTGTTCAGAGATGACTTCCCAGGCCCAGGTCAATTGGCAGAGTGGCAGCAGAAACTGGCCCAGATGCTCTCCAGGTTGAAAAAAATTTCTGAATGTCTGAACCGGCACTGCGTTTCTTTCATCGGAGTGTGGGTGCTATCGCTGAGGAGACTAGATTTTAATCTGCATAGTTTAGTCTCTTTTTAGGTTTGTACTTCCAAGAATGTTTCAACTACATTTGGGAATCTTGAGGAGTAGTAGAAGGGAAGCAGGATGGAGGAATTAAAAAAAAACAAGTTAAAAGATGTTAAAAATCGCGGTGCATGAACTGTACTCTGCTTAAAATGTTTTTTGTTTTGTTTTTAAATGGTGTGTGCTCCACTTAAAGCACCGAGATTACAGATGAATCAGAATCAGATTCATGGGCCAAGTATGGCCGCTACAGCTTCTTGTTTGCTTTCAAACTTGGCTTGCAGCAGACGTGTGCTCATTTTCAACATGACGTCTTTGATCCACTGGTGAAAAGGACACGTTGATTCGCTCCTCTTCCCATCTGTAACTGCTTCAAACAACAAAGTGAATGCAGACGCTTCCACCACAAGGTTGAGTCTGAGGAAGGGACGCGCTGAGATGAGAATTGCCAAAATATTTAAGAGGTATAGCAATGCATCGCTTTCACAACAAAATCACAGATTGAAACTCCGTATTCATTCCACAAGCATATGCATAATTTTCAAATGTCTTCATTTGTTTTGCCAGCCCAGATATGCCGCAGAATGAGACTACTTTTGCCATCACAGCTGGAGGAATTGTTGATGCGAAAGAGTGACGGACAAACAGATAAATATTTCATCGTTTGCACAGTTAGCTGTTTCAAAATATATTTTTGACGACTATTTCATAATTTTGTTCCATGTTCCGGTGTATTTATTCAATCTGTCACCTTGTCAATGATTTTACACAATAAAACTGAGATAGTCTTCAATGTGACACAATCTGACTCGACCTACATACACATTCGGGTTACGTAGCCGCCGTACGGCGCTGAGTTCCGTCGTAAACCGGACATCACGACCAGCAGAGGACCGTTGGTGACCTCTAGCGGTAGCCACAAGACTTACATCGACTAAACGCAACTCCTCGTCAGCTGCGCGCTCCATATGCCTGTCAAAGCAGCATAGCAATGGGAAGTTCACCAACAGCGCTGTCAAGTGTTTAAACCTACTCGTAACTAACCGCGTTTTTTTTTAGTAGAACAACAAACATCTCCCAGCTCTACCGGCAAAGGTTATTGCTCAACTCTCGTTAAAAAAAAAAGAGGAGAGATGGACCCGAGAGACACAGCTCCGGATTCGTGGGAGCTGGAAGAAGACGCCGAGGCCCCGGCCACCTCGGCGGCTCTCCCGTGCGCCTTCGCCGCACTCAACGTCAACGCCAAGCCGTTTGTCCCCAACCTCAACGCCCCGGTGTTCGTGCCTACCTCCATTCAAAGCACCGCTGCCGGAATGCCTCCTTCCGACGGTAAGGTAACACGAAAGCTAGAAAGCAGTTTGGAACTTAGCCTAACTTGCTAACTATCTTGCTAACGTAGCTAGAGTTAGCCCGTTTCTCGTGGCTCACTTGCAACACGTCGACTACGTGTCGTCACCAGTTACAGCTCATTCATGACTGTGATTACTCCCCACACTTTCTGAAACGTGGCCAGCATTATGCGATTAATATCAATGATATTTTCAAAATGTTTTGTTTTTCCTTCCCTTTCAGGTACCCCTGATCCAGTTGGTAGCAGCATGGAGGTGGCACAGACAGTCGGTATGCAGGCACAATGAATGAACTATAACGACTAAATGTGATTGTCGTCAGGTTACAAAACCGCGTGATGTGAACTCAGGAGGTGTGCGGGTGAAGTACCAGGGTGCGCCCGCTTTCTCGCAGTCATGTTTGAAACGTCAAACTCATCAGGAATGCCAGGGGGCTCTGTTCAAGTTTCACATAGTGAGCCTTATTTGGATTGCTGGCATTGGGCAACCACAAGGCACTGCCTTGTGTGAATGTTATGATGCAACCTCACTGCTCCACTTCCCGACATAGACTTTTCATTGGCTTACGTTGCACGACCAAGGTTCTCACTTTGGATTTTCACTTTTGACAATTTGTGCCCAGCAGATTAAACATTAGTTGGTTATGTCAGAGGTGGGCAAAGTATGGTGACATTCTCATGCCCACAGAGGATTTACATTAACTAGACCAGTGATTCCCACCCTCTATTGAACCAAGACACATGGTTCAGATACAACGTGTGTCAGAAGAGTTCCGTTTCAAACCAAAACTAGAACGTTTTGAGAAACGTTGGTTCCAGAGTCAGCCAGTGACTTGTCTGTTCGCAGCTCCAGTTGAGAACGGCAGCTCAGAGGCAGACATGGCAGCCGACGACGAGACGTGGGAGCTGAACGATGAGCCGGGCGGAGGCGGGGGTGGTGGCGGACAGGAGGACCCGGCCGCGACGGGGGATTGTCCGCCCTACGCTGACAGCCAGGAGGATGAGATGATCATGGAGGAGGAAGAGGAGGAGATCCCTATGCCTAAAGTGGCGCCTTCAACGCCAGATGCGCCCAAGAAAGAACATGTGAATGTTGTCTTCATTGGTCACGTGGGTGCGTAACCTTAGCGGCATCGTCATTGATGAATGATGACTGCAAAACCACAGTTTAATATGATAACCATCATTTTTATTTGACCGTCAGATGCTGGAAAATCAACGATTGGTGGACAAATAATGTGAGTAAACATTGCGAAGTCATCTTCCACATTTGACTTCTGTGTCCAAAAGCAAAACTGCAGTTCGCACTTGCTGCACGCTATCCATTCCAGCATGGAGTTTAATGTTTTCCTCTCTCTGAGTGACTGTCCTGCAATAGGAGCCAACAGGATATTTAATTGCACATTATGGAAGATAATTCCTAGTTGATATTTGTGTGTGTGTTTCTCTCAGGTATTTAACTGGAATGGTGGAAAAACGAACTTTGGAAAAATATGAAAGGGAAGCAAAAGAAAAAAACAGAGAGACATGGTGAGCACAGCTTGGGTTCTATTTTCGAAGTGTCCAAATCTAATTTTATGCCGATTGTTATATGAATGTGTTTTAATGGATCAACTTCATCTACATCTTTATTGACACACAGTCTACTAATGCTGCATTTACATTTATGAAACAACTCAAATAGCACAGATGCCTAAATTTCACTTAAATGACTCCACAAGCGAGTCGTGAAATATTGGGAGTAAATCCAAATACTTAAATAATACAAGTTTCAACTGTTACATCCCCTTTCTTTGGCTTTTTGCTCACTCGTCCTCCATTAACTTCAATGAGCCTTACCTTAATGGCTAATTTGATCCCCTACCCCCAAAGAAGGTAAAAATTTGCCGATTTATTTCCCTGTCATTGATTAAAATGGGACAATCTTAGCACCAGCTTTCATGATAACAATCTGTGCTCATGGGAAGCTCCCGGCCAAACAAAGAGTCATTTATATGTCACAAAAGCCACCGTGTGTGTAAAAGGCATCCTCCCAAATGACTTTTAAAAGGTCTTAGCGTCACAACTAACACAATAAATACAATTAAGTGACTAACACCTTAAGCATGAGGCCAACGCACAGACTTACCTCCCAACGAATGACCTCACTTCTGCAACAACGCATTACAGCGATCAGTTTTCACAAAATACTACCCAGTTGTAACTAAAATTACTATTTTCACACAATATTTTGGAGGAAAAAAAACATCCAGACTTTCAATATATTGGACATGCCACATGGTAAGATAACGGGCAAGCTGCAGACCAGTAGTATCGATTTTTGAAATAATTAAATTTACTATTTTTGGACATACGGGATTTCAGCACGACAGCGGCGATATTATACCTTGAGTGACTATTCTCGTGGCTGCAGGTACCTGTCGTGGGCTCTGGACACAAACCAGGAGGAGCGAGACAAAGGAAAGACTGTGGAGGTGGGAAGGGCATATTTTGAGACGGAGAAAAAACACTTCACAATCCTGGATGCCCCTGGACACAAGAGCTTTGTCCCCAACATGATCGGAGGAGCGTCACAAGCCGATCTGGCTGTCCTGGTGAGGTTGACTTCGATCTTAATTCGGTCGTTTTGATCAGACGTGCACATTTTCATGCATGGATGCTAACGCAGCCTTGTCCACTTCCTGTGGTCAGTTCGTCTTTTAGCATGTCGCATAAAGGATGCTAATGATCGTATTGACTGCTCCGAAAAATACTTTATAAAAATGATCTTACTGAAACCCACTGACGTCACTTATAAAGTAAAACAGTACATCATTCATGAATTTACACTGGAGTTCTGTTGCTATAGTAACAAAAATTTACTACGCTTTTACATGAGTAAAGTCAGAATTAAATATTTGTGTGAAAAACACCTTTAGCCTGTAAATATGAAATGAAGAAATAAAAAAATAAAAATTAAACATGGCTGTAATTGAGGTAGCTTTTGGAAGATGGCGTATTCCTTCGCCGTTTATGCTTTTTTTTTTTTTTGTAACAACCGCTTTCTTCCTGGTCTGTGTCAGGTCATTTCAGCGAGAAAGGGCGAGTTTGAGACGGGTTTTGAAAAAGGCGGACAGACTCGGGAGCACGCCATGCTGGCCAAAACGGCAGGCGTCAAGCATCTCATTGTCCTGGTCAACAAGATGGACGACCCCACTGTCAACTGGAGCCTAGACAGGTGAACGTGGTGTGGGTGCGATTGCTGCTCTTGTTCAGATTTGACGAGTAGTGACTTCTTGAAACAGAGGTGGGCTTGGTGCTTAGCACCACATTTCCTCCCACATTGCAAAAACATCGATAATGGGTTCATTGATGTGAAGTGTATGAATGTGAATGTAGATGTTCAGTTGGGACTTTCAAAAGGAAACATTTGTGCTGGCTCTTTAGAGGTTTGCTCCATACTTGCAGGTATGAAGAGTGTAAGGAGAAGCTGGTGCCATTTCTCAAGAAGGTTGGCTTCAACCCCAAAAAGGACATCTACTTTATGCCTTGCTCCGGACTCACAGGTGCCAACCTCAAGGAACCCGTACCTGAATGTCCCTGGTACACGTAAGTGGGACTGTTGGCGTGATGGCTGCAGTTATTCAAACTTTTTTTTCTCACTGAATCGGAAATGTGTTTGAAAGAACCACTTTGATTTTTTTTTGCTCTGTACCAGGGGGTTGCCATTTATTCCCCACTTGGATAGTTTGCCAAACTTCACCAGATCCATCAACGGGCCGGTCAGACTCCCCATCGTAGATAAGTACAAGGTGAGCAGGTGAAGACGCCTGACATGGGTCAGATTGTTTCCAGTTAAGGTTGAGGCCAAAGTGACATAATTTCTTCCTCCAAAAGAAAACACGTGCACACACACAGAGGACTGGAATTTGTGTGTGTGTGTGAATGTTGTTCCCATTGTGGCTATATTCCTCAGTCCTCTGATTGCACGATCATGACGTCTGTGATTTATACTGTGACTCTGCTACATATTTCAAAACACGCCTCCCTTATATACTGCTGCAGTACCTTCTGTCAAGTCTTTTTTTGCTTAACCCACTGTTACTCTAAATGTGATTCATAATCCGTTTTAAAATGAAACTAAATAAACTTTTTTTTTCCTCACTAATGATTATTAAGCTCCACATCTTACATCGACAAATACAAGAGACAACCTTCACGTAGTCCACTCAGCACAAGTAGAATCAGCACAAAGTAAAAAAAAAAGGAGGATAGTGATGATACCCCAAATAAATACGCACAGCAAAAATAAGGTCCAAATATCTGAGGCTAGTCACATTTATTGTTTTTTCTCTCCGAAGTCGTCATCTTCGTTGTCCAAGTTGAATAGAAAACAGCGCAGCAGTCAATGGCCTCCGGTTTGAAGGTTGTGTCATAGACGTGACATGTTGTATGTTGCGTGCATGCGTGTGTTTTAGGACATGGGTACAGTCATTCTCGGGAAGCTGGAGTCCGGAACCATTAGCAAAGCCCAGCAGTTGGTCATGATGCCAAACAGGGTGAGATGACTTTTTGTTCTTGTAGAATTGTTTGGAAAAATATGTCCCAAAGGGAATTCTTTCAGAGTGAAATTCTGTCGAGGGTGGTGAAAAAAATAGGATTGAATAAAATCAGGTTGTCTCATGTTATTTGTGTGGAAACAAATGTATTTTCAGCACATCGTGGAAGTACTGAGCCTGCTTAGCGATGAGGTGGAGACTGATGACGCAGGTCCAGGGGAGAACCTGAAGATGAGGCTCAAGGGCATCGAGGAAGAGGAGATCCTGCCCGGTTTCATCTTGTGCAGCCCCGACAACCTTTGCCACACCGGCCGCACCTTTGACGCTCAGGTGACATACATCGCTTTATGACACTCCCAACATGCATCGTTTTGAGGCGACGAGCAGTACGTAATGAAGTAAAATGCAAGAAGAAATCCTGAATGAGTTGCCCAGCAACCCTTTTTGAATTTGTTCAGCTACACGATTGTCATTTCGATTGCAAATGATTTCTCCTCTCATATTTCAGATTGTCATCATTGAGCACAAATCAATCATTTGTCCTGGTTACAATGCAGTACTTCACCTCCATACCTGCATCGAAGAGGTGCAAATCTCAGTAAGTTGCTGCCCAGCCTCCCCAACTGAAGCATTTAAAAAAAAAAATTCTATTGTATTTTGTTTTTGTGACTGTAAAAAAACAACCTTTTGGGCGTACTAACAGCCTTGCATATTAAAACATATTGTGCTGCCCCTTCTGTTATGCATGGCTTAGCCTGACTGTGGCAGTAGTGCAAAAGGCAAAGTTGATCCATAATGTCAAGTAGTAGACATCAACAAACGACACAAAAGCTGAACATCGGCCGTTTGTTTACACACAAGGTATTCCCATGAGTTTCTCAACATCTTGGTTTGATTTGCATCCTGATTGCAGGCCTTAATTTGTATGGTGGACAAGAAGACGGGAGAGAAAAGTAAAACACGTCCGCGCTTCGTGAAGCAGGTCCAGGTTTGTATCGCCAGGTTCCGGGCGGCGGGAGTCATCTGCATGGAGACTTTCAAGGACTTTCCTCAAATGGGGCGATTCACGCTACGTGATGAAGGTAAGGACACGGCACTCTGGAAGTTTATCTTTGTGCTTTTTCAAATTGTTATTTCTGAGACCTATTTTTCCACCAACCAGGCAAAACCATCGCCATCGGAAAAGTGCTGAAGCTGGTGCCGGAAAAGGACTAAATGCAAGCGAGATCCAAGTTGTGTAATGCTGCTTGTCACCAGAAGAGCACTGCTGCTCGGGCCAACCACAACAGCGACTCTTTTCTTTATGCTATACTATGCTAAAGAGAAGAACTTCCAACAACGGAGCGAAGAGGGGAATTAATTGCGTCAAATGAAAATAACAAGACTGGATCAGTTTTTATGATGAACAATCGACAGTGAGAGAGTGTGAGTGTCCAGCGTTCTCATATTGAGAGCTCTGCAATAACACTAATGTAGCGACAGTACATGGCTGAAAACGCTGCCGGCTGGCCATACCAATCGTTTTTACTATGGAGGTGGATGCAGTGTTACTGAGTCTGGAGAGAACAAAAATACAAAAATGCAGGATGATTTTGTTCTCTATAAAAACCAACATGATCATACAATTCTAATTTGATGAGTGCAATTCCAATTTTAAAAAAAATACAAAAATGCAGGATGATTTTGTTCCCTATAAAAACCAACAACAAGATTATACAATTCTAATTTGATGAGTGCAATTCCAATTTTAAAAAATGAGAGAAGTCCCTTGGACATTTTATTTGTTAGATGTTGCCGCGCCATCAGTTTGTTTAGCCTCACTCACACTGCTCCGATAAATCAAGGACGAACAAACATGCAAATGTTGCATAACAAAGCCACATGAAAAAAATAAATGAATCATGACGCTTGAGTGAAAATGTGTTTTTTTTTAACTGCATTCAAGGTATATCCTTTGCTGACCTTTTATCTTGTTAGTTGTTAAATTTTCCTCGTGACAATTTCCAAGTTGAATAAAACGATATATTTTTGATTAAATTAGTTGTAACTCAGGGCGCGTTATGTCGCCGCCGTACAAATTAGATTCAATCGTAAAACGAAGGAAACCTGTGAATTTTTTTTTTGTCGTACAAATAAAGTTTTCATTTAGATTTTTGACGTTGCAGTCCACGTTGTCTGTGATCAACTAGTACGCATGCGCGCGTGTCTGAAACACGTGAAGGCAACATGGACGACGAGCGACTAGTTCAACTGGACCGGTCACAGGTAAAAAGCTTTGTTTTTATTGAATTATTTGTTTTTTTACTGAAACACTTGCATCGGTTTTTCATTCGGATTGATAGTGGGTTGTCTAATATCTTTACGCATTGACCAGTAGTGACCACAACGCCGTACCTTGGCGTATTTGTTAGCTGTGAAGCTAACCCACGAGTTGAAGTCTTGACTTGTTCAATGCAGGCCTCGAATAATTCTTCCCTGACCACATCAAACCAAATAATATTTTCCCACAGGTGAATAAGGCCGTTCTAGCCCTGCAGGCATTCCTCAAAAGCAAGCCGACCGGGAAAAAACTTTTCAAGAACGAGTCTCAAAATATCAGCATACTCTTCACCTTATGGAAGATCCCCAATGAGGCGCAGACAATTCGGATGTAAGTGGATTTATAATCGTGTTGTATTTTACGTTACGTGATAAATGTGCAACGACACAGCTTGCGTGTTGTAAAGTTTCCAGAGTTTTTTTTTTTCTTTTTTAACCCCACATTGTAATGAAGAGTTAATAGTGCTCTCTTGTTGTCTGGTCATCAGTCCATTGCCTCATGCCGAACGCACAAGCTCAGAGGAAGTATGCCTTTTCACCCGAGATGAGCCCCAAATGACCACGGACCAAACCGTGAGGTTTTATAAGAAATTAATGGAAGAGAGGGGAGTCACTAATGTCACTGAGGTAAACATCATCGGTTGCCAAAGTCGTACTGGATCAGACTAGGCCAGCACTAATGACCATGTCACTCCATCTTTGTCAGATAATCCCATTCAAGGTTCTGAAGACGGAGTACAAACCTTTTGAGGCGAAACGGCGCCTACTGGGGAACTTCAACATGTTTCTCGCCGATGGCCGCATTCGTCGCCGTCTGCCTTCCCAACTCGGGAAACACTTCTACGAGAAGAAAAGGTCAGATTTTAACATTTTTGAGACCGTATTTTCCTCCAATTTAAAACAGTTCAAAGGACGAAAGGTTCGGGATACGTGCTGACCGCTTTTCCTTGTTTTCTAGGGAGCCGCTTGCTGTGAACCTGCAGAGCAAACATCTGGCTCAAGACATCCAAAAAGTGGTCCAGGGTACCAGTGTGAAAATCAACAACAAGGGCGCCTGCTGGTGGGTTTCAAATGTGTTTGCTTGCCCAATTCAATGCCTCTAACCAAAAAGCGGAGTCTACCTCTACTGCGTTGATACACGCGAGCTCAACCCTAGCTGGCATGTAATCGTAAAGTATCCACAATTTGTATTTTGGGACCAGACATAGTCACTGATGTGTTTTTCAGCATGGCGCGTGTGGGCCACAGCGGCATGACTGCTGATGAGTTGACGGAAAACATTGAGGCAGCCGTTCAGACTGTGGCGGGAAAAATACGCATGGTGAGTGCAGCCGTTTTATTCAGCGACAATGTCCACATTGTTTCTTCATCAATGCTGTAATTTAATTCGTGGCGTCAACGAAAGCGGAGTCTGTTGTTTTGGGGGGACTACAGTATCATTGAGTCATCATTTCACGAGCACTCCTTTTGTCTAAATGCCTGTGCTGCTTTTGCGTAGGCAGGACCAGCGCTGAAGATTATCCACGTGAAGAGTGAAAGGTCTGTGGCCCTACCCATCTACACTTCAGGCCTGGGCCACCTCATGAAGACCAAAGCCACAGAGGAAGAGAAGGCGAGAACAGATTTGAGCTCAAATGCTTCAAAAAAAAAAAAAAAAAAAGAAGGGCGGAAACCCCCTTGGCCTGTTTGCATTTAAGACAGGTGAATAAGGCCGTTCTAGCCCTGCAGGCATTCCTCAAAAGCAAGCCGACCGGGAAAAAACTTTTCAAGAACGAGTCTCAAAATATCAGCATACTCTTCACCTTATGGAAGATCCCCAATGAGGCGCAGACAATTCGGATGTAAGTGGATTTATAATCGTGTTGTATTTTACGTTACGTGATAAATGTGCAACGACACAGCTTGCGTGTTGTAAAGTTTCCAGAGTTTTTTTTTTTCTTTTTTAACCCCACATTGTAATGAAGAGTTAATAGTGCTCTCTTGTTGTCTGGTCATCAGTCCATTGCCTCATGCCGAACGCACAAGCTCAGAGGAAGTATGCCTTTTCACCCGAGATGAGCCCCAAATGACCACGGACCAAACCGTGAGGTTTTATAAGAAATTAATGGAAGAGAGGGGAGTCACTAATGTCACTGAGGTAAACATCATCGGTTGCCAAAGTCGTACTGGATCAGACTAGGCCATCACTAATGACCATGTCACTCCATCTTTGTCAGATAATCCCATTCAAGGTTCTGAAGACGGAGTACAAACCTTTTGAGGCGAAACGGCGCCTACTGGGGAACTTCAACATGTTTCTCGCCGATGGCCGCATTCGTCGCCGTCTGCCTTCCCAACTCGGGAAACACTTCTACGAGAAGAAAAGGTCAGATTTTAACATTTTTGAGACCGTATTTTCCTCCAATTTAAAACAGTTCAAAGGACGAAAGGTTCGGGATACGTGCTGACCGCTTTTCCTTGTTTTCTAGGGAGCCGCTTGCTGTGAACCTGCAGAGCAAACATCTGGCTCAAGACATCCAAAAAGTGGTCCAGGGTACCAGTGTGAAAATCAACAACAAGGGCGCCTGCTGGTGGGTTTCAAATGTGTTTGCTTGCCCAATTCAATGCCTCTAACCAAAAAGCGGAGTCTACCTCTACTGCGTTGATACAAGCGAGCTCAACCCTAGCTGGCATATAATCGTAAAGTATCCACAATTTGTATTTTGGGACCAGACATAGTCACTGATGTGTTTTTCAGCATGGCGCGTGTGGGCCACAGCGGCATGACTGCTGATGAGTTGACGGAAAACATTGAGGCAGCCGTTCAAACTGTGGCGGGAAAAATACGCATGGTGAGCGCAGCCGTTTTATTCAGCGACAATGTCCACATTGTTTCTTCATGTCTGCTGTAATTTAATTGATGGTCAACGAAAGCGGGGAGTCCGTTTTTTGAGGGGGTACAGTATCATTCAGTCATCATTTCACGAGCACTCCTTTTGTCTAAATGCCTGTGCTGCTTTTGCGTAGGCAGGACCAGCGCTGAAGATTATCCACGTGAAGAGTGAAAGGTCTGTGGCCCTACCCATCTACACTTCAGGCCTGGGCCACCTCATGAAGACCAAAGCCACAGAGGAAGAGAAGGCGAGAACAGATTTGAGCTCAAATGCTTCAAAAAAAAAAAAAAAAAAAGCAGTGTCGTAACCACCTTGTGCATGTTGCATTTCAGGAGTCCGCTGCTGAAGAAACTGACGAGGACACAAAACAAACTCTTGCAAAGGAAAAGAATGGAAAGAAAAGGAAGGTAGAGGAGGAAGAGGACGACGATAGCGGGGATGAGGACATTCCCCAACTGGTCCCCATAAAGACCAAGGGCAAAAAGCTGAATGTGCGGGTGCGTGTTGTACGCAAACGCAAAAATCGTACATTTTGTCCAACAAGTTTTCCGACATTGACTTATATTACATTTTTTTTCTCCCTCTTGCTCCTCTTTGTTATAGCACAAGAAAAGAAGACCCGCTGACAAGAAACATGCAAGCATACTGCTCAAAATGTCCAAGAAAGGTGTCAGGTCTCCGAAACCGAAAAGAAAAGCAAACGTATCTAAAAGGAAATGATCTTCTTGAGGGACACTGCGCAGTATTTTGTAAGCTTGTCAATCTCTTCAATCGATCACATCCCAACGTTTCACCGGGCAAAATGTGTCAAATTATCAGATGAGTCAATTGCTGACTCTTTTTTTTTTCCTCTGAATAAAATACCTTCATATTCATACTTTCATACTTTTTGTCATTGAACGGGAGAGAATTTTTTTTTTCTGTCACTATTAGTTGCTGGCATAGATAGATGGGCAAAGTTAAATTATTTGTTCTCAATAAATATTTGTCTCACCAAAAAAAACAAAAAACAATCGGTGCAACAGCGAAGCCGTGAAAGATGAACCAAGTTACGGCGAGGGATGACTGTACTTGTGGACAAGATGTACTTTATTCCACAAAACTTTTTTTTTCCCATCTTGTACTTAAAAAAAAAAAAAAAAAAAAAGTGCAAACGCGCTCTCAAAACTAATGAAAATTAACAATAAAAAAATTACAGGTCAAAAAAAAACAATCTCAGGAAAGATCCAAGAAACTAACCTGTTGTGCAGTCGAGTTTGTTTTGGTGAAACATGAGTATGTTGATGATAAAGCGAGGCGGTGTGTCTCATCCATTCATCTTCGATGAGCTGTTGGTGTGTGTGTGGGTGTGGTGCAGGGCCATCTGGAATTACAGTGTGTCAACAGTTTTCTGGGCGACAGAATAAGCACACAACAGATGACATAGCTCTCAATCGGGAGGTAGCTGCATTCGGATGATTCTGATCCAGAGACCGCTTAAGTTATGAGTCAAGTTTTTTTCAGGAAGTCACACCGTTTTTTGTGGGCATGATGGAAGGATATGACGAGACGCCGTTTTTTGTCGACTCTGGCATTTTGTGTCCGAACTCTCATTCGGGTACGGCGGTCTCGGATTGGGCCTACCTGCACAAGTCCATCATCTCCATCGTGATGGGGTCTCTGATGTCGGCGGCGGGCGTGGTCCTCTTCCTGCTGCAGTTCTGTAAGATGGTGCAGGCGGGACCCGTCGCCTCTGCCTGTGTGTCCGTGGGACTGATGTTTGTAGTGGTGGGCTTGGTTTGGATTCCAATATTGAAAGAGAAGAGGAGGCGTCGGTGCTACTATCAAGTGGCTTGACGATGATGATGTGTATTCATTCGTTTTGGGTCACGGTAGAGCTTGAACCTTTCTCAACTGACTTTGGCCGAAAGCAGGACTATGGTCTGGGCTGGTCGCCATGCAGTCAGGCATGGGTCGATATTAAATTCTGACGGGACACCTGAAGGAAAAAACATTGCGGTATCACAGTATTTAAATAACAACTCCAAAACGACATTAAAAAAATATTTGGATAAATAAAAAACAGCATTGTTTTCCCCCCACAAAACTGAATATTTGGTATAGAAGAAATGTGTACTATGTTGGGTTTAATAACTGAACACATGTTAACAACTATGCGGCCCGTCGACCTCACAGTACAGAGGTCGTGGGTTCGATCCTGGCTCGGGCCTTCCTGTGAGGAGTTTGCATGTTTTCCCCGGGCCTGCGTGGGTTTTCTCCGGGTACTCCGGTTTCCTCCCACATTCCAGAAACATGCATGGTAGGCTGATTGAACACTCTAAATTGTCCCTAGGTGTGCGTGTGAGTGCGGCTGGTTGTTCGTCTCTGTGTGCCCTGCAATTGGCTGGCAGCCGTTTCAGGGTGTCCCCCGCCTACTGCCCGAAGACGGCTGGGATAGGCTGCAGCACCCCCCGCGACCCTCGTGAGTATCAAGCGGTTTGAAAAATGAATGAATGTCTGTTAACATCTGTTTTAAGTCTTCATAAGTCATAGTGTCCCATGACTGCTGACCTTTTTTGAATTTTATTTTATTTTTAAAGAACACACCCATGGGCTACTCGTGTTGTCCTTGGGGCTAACTAGTGCCTGCTGGCACCATTTTGTTTTTAAGGCCAATGCATATTAATCATAGCAAAAAGTCTTTGCAGCGTTGCAGTCTTTCATCTTGCTCCTTCCATGGTTTGCATGTCGGCCTCAGAAAGTTAACACAAGGGTTGAACTAGATGCATTTCATGAGACTCATCCAAACTTCTGTTTTGACTGTCGCTGAGAACTGGCCCCATGCTGTCATTCGAGTGAACCACGATACCATCAGTCACTGCGATGATTCAATGACTTTTTTTTTTTCCCCAAGTCAGCTGGTCTTGTTGATAACCACACGCACACACTGAACTTCGACCGTTGCTACTGCAGAGTTTGTGAGAGCTACGCCTGCGACTCGCAGCACATTGCTGCTTACGGATCCACATCTGGATTCATTCTGACACCATCTTCTCAAGGACCATGTCGACCTCCGTGCAGGTGGAAGCGCCAGTGGAGAGGAAGTACGGAGGAGTGGGCCGTTGCAAGTGCTCCTTCTGGTTTGCCGTGGCCCACGACATCCTCGGCGTGCTCATCATGATGGTGGGGGTGTTCGGGGGTCTGGCTATCCACGACCTTTTCATCTACGCCGGCGCCATCGTCATCTTCCTCAGCCTCATCTGGTGGGTCTTCTGGTACTCTGGCAACATCGAGGTGCCGCCCGAGGAGCTGGAGGACGACGTGGGCCTCATCAAGCCGAGGAATAAAGGACTGAGCCGAGTGATGAGACGCGTGTCCGACCAGTTCTCCAGCGGGATCCGGAACTCCCTGAGAAAGAATGTCGCTTCGACCAGAGAATGTTCGGCGGGAAAGAGACCCCGAAATACCGAGGCATTGTCGCTCTTCACGATATATGACAGCAGCATGAGCTCATCGTCAAAGCAACTTGTGAGAGAGACACTGTCAATATGAACTAATCCTTGACATCAACATCCAAAACTTTTATCGGGCCAAGACACATGCAAAAGATGTGTAATCATCATCAAGCTTGATTAGGAAATGTCTTTTGAGATGATGTCACATAGATTTACACAAAGCGGTCCCTGGAGAGAAACTAGACCTTGGGTCAAGGAGCTTCGGGACGTACGGCAAGGAAACTGTAAGTCCTGAATCTCAAGACAATGTTCACGGTAGATAAAAGGTAAAGATTTTTTTTTTTTTTTTGCTTTTATTTATGTTGACCGTTCCATTATTCATCTTTCAATGTGAAAGAAGAAACCAAGCTGAATTTTGGATTCGCACCCTTGTCAAGGTTTTTTTTGACTCGGACAGTGGTGTGCTTCACTCTATGCTTTTATTTATGTTGACCGTTGCATTATTCATCTTTCAATATGAAAGAAGAAACAAAGCTCCTGAATTTTGGATTCGCACCCTTGTTAAGGTTTTTTTGACTCGGACAGTGGTGTGCTTCACTCTATTTTGTCCTGATGTTTAAACTGATTTTGTGTTCATTTGCTCTTAGTTTTTTTTTAACGCGGATGTCCGATTGTACCAATCTGCAAGTAAATTGACGCACACGTCTGAAAATGTCTCGCCTGTTCAATAATTTCAGCGGCAATGCGCACGTAACGCGGATGTCCGATTGTACCAATCTCCAAATAAATTGACGCACACGTCTGAAAATGTCTCGCCTGTTCAATAATTTCAGCGACAATGCGCACGTCACACCACCAAACCAAAAAACATTTACCCCTTGATGGATCAAAATCTTGACCCGATGTGCTGGTTCAAATTCTCAACCCAATGGCCTGGGGGTCAATAACCCAGCATTGGGTCAATCCCTTTTGGACCCAGCACTGGGTATGTTATTTCACCCAATTTGGGTTACTTTTGATTCATCATTTTTAAGATTGAAATTTAATAAGTCAATTGAAGAGCATTTAATAGCTCTGCCTGCCACTATGTGTTGGTGGCATGGATAGACAAACAAAGATACAGTACATTTTTTTTCGTAAATAATTTTCTGCAGTGCACTTGATCTCTCATGGCACACTCATGTGCCCGGCAGACTGGTTGGGACTAACACACTGTTAATAACTGAGTGAAATGCGAAACCTGGACTTGGGTTTTTGTTTTATTTGCTTCTACGCTTTAAAGGGATTTGCCGTTTGCTCTGCCATCATGCACAGGTAATGATTAGACAAAACTGTCCAGATAAGTGCACATGGTCTTATCTGGCTGATAAGATACACATCTTGCACACTTCGACAAAGTGCGCCAAGACGGTAACAAAGCAGGGATCAAGCAGTATTAGAATGAACCCCCGTGATTGCAAAAAATAAAGGTAGTCTCTGAGATTTTATCATGTTCAAGTAGGGTGTTACTATTTACAGTAACTGATTTTCCATTCAATTGGTCAAAACAACTGAATTTTCCTGTGTCCCAGAATTTCAAAAAACAACAGCAAATTAAAGAACATCAAAATATTCAACTAAACAAAACATGAAAAAAACACAAACACGAATACCAAATGTCACAGCGAAAAAAAAAAATCACAAAAATAAACCGCTAAACAGAACAACAAAAAATACAGAATAAGCAAAACAACAAAAAGCTAACCGCGACAGCAAATAAAAACAGAAAACCAAAAAAATAAACAACAACATGCTATACACACCAGCAAATAAAAAAACTAGCTCAACAAAACAACTTAAGGTAAACACAACAACAAATCTAAATCACAAAAACAAAAGGCCTGAAACCTTGAGCTGAGTTTCAAAGTCACTGGGGAGAAATAAACAATCAATCATACACACTCACAATAACACCTGCGGGCAAAATTAAATCGTCAGTGAACCAAATGTATAATTTAATGAAATGCGAATGCATCGCGAAAACCACAGCAGAGCAAGTACTGTCAAAAACTACGTTTCCCATGACCACTTGAGCAAGGACACGTGACAGCTGTGTTTTATCACGTGACCTTCACACTGCTCACGAGTCAACAGTCCGCTTCCGGCGTTTGCACATTCGCAGCTGTTTTCGCATAACGCAAATGTACTCCATGACTTCAAGATTGCATTCCGGCTTTTGACAAGCGCATTTTGTCAGCTCGCCAGCGTATGGAGAACTCGACACTTGGATGTCAACCAGCGGAGGTCACTTAGCCTCGGCGATTTTCCACCGGCAAGGCCTCTCCGCTCACCGAAAGAGCATCGCTCTTCTTGCCGCGGTGGGGCGGGTCAAACTCGGCCACGGAAGCCGCATGAGCCCGGTCCCTCGCGAGCCTCCCCGGTGGATGATTTGCAGGAAAAAGAGGGATGAATAACCTCGGTGGGGAAGCGTCAAGCTTGGATGTTTCCGCACCTGAAGTTTTGTTGTCACAATGAACGGTAAATTTAGTTCGTGTTTGGAAAAACACAATGGGACACGTTTGGACAATTTGCACGGGTGTTTCTCCAAAGCTATTGTCATACATCCTTCCCAGTTTTTGTAGCAAAAGTCCATTTGATTTTGCAGACTTTGAAATATTTCTATACTGTTACTGTTGTATTTCAAGATTAATCAGTTTTAACCTACTGACATGAAAATGTGTCGTCATCACAATGAAGTCTGACTGTATTTGTTGCTTCCTTTCTCCTAAGCAATGTATATTGGGCGTGAGGATGCAGATGACGCTGCAGTTTTGAAAACAATTTCAAAGCTCACACAATTTTATTAATTTTCAGTATGTAGGAAACATGTTATTTTATTTGGGTGCGGCAGCTGTAAACTCCACAGTCATGCAAATTGAGTCCGAACTGGACCGCGTTCTGCGCCCCTATTGAGGGGGTCGATCTGAGTTGTGGCCGCAAGGTGGTCGGTGCTTGTCTTGATGGCAACCCCCAAACTCGCTGGTTTACACTGGCAGAAAGGATGCCATCAAACTGAAGGAGTCCCATCAGGCCTTTTTGGGTCACGGGTTACCGACTTGCCAAGCAGAGCGCGGCTTTGTTGGTTGCTCCAAACAATGACTCGATTAAAATAGTAATCGATTAGTTCTTGATTTTTCAATTAATTTTTCACGCCTTAAGTTTCCAATTATTGTCCAATAAGTTAAGAAATTGCATGCCACCAAATCAAATGTTGTCTTTGTTCGCCTTTTGCAGGCGCTGTGCAGAGTGACGCCAAGAGACAGAACCTCTTGGAAAGGTTACTAGATGCTGTCAAACAGGTTAGTACAAGTCGCCTTTCCAAACTATGGTGTTGTATATATATATATTTTTTTGTGTGGATATGACATTCTATTCAACATCTCTGAATTTAATGAGCCCATTAGCACGCTAAATTCTAGCCATATTTTCGAACAAGAAACTGGACATGATTTCGACGTGATAAGAGCTTCAGAATGTTTCAGGCTGTGGAGTGTGGTAACCCACCATTGCTTGAAAGTGACTCTGAATGTTCACCCAGCCTCGTTGGCTTTGGAGAAACTGCGTGCGGAGGCGCTTATTATGTAAATTTACTGAACTGCCGAAGGCTTGCTTAGATTTTTTTTTCAGAGGTGGGCCGGCACGCCAGAGACACAACTATTCTAATAATGCACAAGCCTTTCGAGAAAGTCAGCTTGCATTCAAGTTTGTCATCTCTCGTCCATTATCAACCATCCCTTGTCTTCCCAGTGCCAAATCCGCTTTGGGGGCAGAAAGGAGATCGCAACGGACTCGGACAGCAGGTTTGCAGCATTTACCATCTCCAAATGAACATTTTCAGCTTTACACAGTGATGATGACTTGAGGCCGGAGTGACCCGACATATGTTTTTCAAGCGACTAGCTGTTGTTAGGCCCCTTTTTTTTTTTTGACTTGTGAGCAAAAATTCTAATTCCAATCGCAGCATGGTGCTGCTCACTTCGCAACAAGCAGCAGCAGAAAAAAAAAAATCTGAAAATTGGCCTCAAGCAGTTTATTGCCACTCCTGGTTGAGGTTTGCTGTCAAACTAAACATCAAAAAAGAGAATTACAGCTTGTGTATTCAAACGATGATTGATTCTGTTGAGCTTCATGCTGACAAACCAAAGAAAATGCAAAAGGGCTAACAAATAGCATCAGTGTTATCACCCTTTCAGCAACGGATATTTGAACACAAATGGTGGAGCAACAAATATAGACAGACAATCTGACAATCCTCACAGGCCCAAACCAAATAAAATGCAAAAGGGCTAACAAATAACATCGGTGTTATCACCCTTTCAGCAACGGATATATGAACACAAATGGTGGAGCAACAAATCTAGACAATCTGACAAGCCTCACAGGCCCATATTCTTACATCCTTTGAATGACTTTCAAATGACTAATCTTACTGCGGATCACTAAGTCAATCATTAAGTCATTGCGGAGTGCTATTCTTCTTTAATTCTTTATTATTCTCTGCAGGGTAATCTGTCTTTGCGCCCAATTTGAGGCAGTGCTGCAGCACGGCTTGAGAAAAAGCCGAGGTCTCGCCCTCACCGCCGCCGCCCTCAAGCAGGCTGCGGGCTTCAGCAGCAAGGTTGAAACAGGTCAGAGTTTGGAGTTGACCTGTGTGTTCTATGAAGAGGTTATGAAAAAAAAAAGGGAGCACTAACTCAGTATCCACTTTCAAATCTGGTTTTTGTCTTGCAACTTGATGTTTGGTTGGCAGTGGTGACGATCAATACCATTGATTGACTTTCCGATTCGATGCTGGGTAAAATCAGTCCTGATGCCGATACTGTGTGCCAATACTACCGTGTCTGGTAATTTGACCAAGAATAGTGTATTTTAACTCAAAACTCATTAAAGCATCCTAGAGCAATATGAATGAGACACGATTAATCTGCTAAATTTTTAACGCTTTTAAAATCAGCCCCCGGCCAATTTTTTGTGTATTTTTGATGATTTTAAGTGCTTTTTAAAATAAAGTGCACCTGAAGACAAAAGTAACGACATTCAAACATTTCCCTCTCGCTTAAATCAGCAAAAAAAAAAAAAAAATTACTGACTTCTAGATTGTTTTCTCTACTTTTGTTAAATTCGACTAAAATGTTCTGCCTGTAATTAATATCTGTACAGGAGTAAGCGTTAACAGACGCGCCCAAAATTGAAGTTAATTAAACTAAGAATTATTTTTAGCATATTTTCAGGTATTGTATTTGTTTCATATTTTTTAATGAGTCAGCTGATTAATTGGTTGTCGGAATTTTATTCAGCCAAATACCGAAATCTGCAATCGACCTAAAAAAAAAAAAAATTCATCTCGTTGGGGTCTTAGTAAAACCAAGACAATTCTTAAATTCTTAACTCTTACCTTGAATGACAGATGACGAAGGTGTCATGTCTCTTTTTTGACTGTCAAGTGTCCTTTGGTATGTTGAAAGGCGCTTATAAATAAAATGTATTATTATTATTATTATTATTATTATTATTATTATTATTATTATCATGTGAAAGTTAGAAATAAAACTTTTACGCTGGACAAAAGTATTGGTACACTGCTTGACACTTATATGTGGCTGGTGATTATTTTTTTTTTTGAACGTTTTTGCTTCAGTGTGAAGACCGTTCCAATTCGGCATGTCAAAAAGAAAGCAGCTGGACAAGTTTCATGTGGGTTATATATTTAGAGATTTGCTCATGTAGCTCTGTCATGAGGAAGTGTTCACTCTGAATAATTATTCTCTTGTCGTCAACCCAACTCTAAAACTGTCGCGCTGTTTGAGGCGCCGTGAGTGCCACATTAGCGCGTCAAACCGCATCATATTCAAGAATGCATTGCCCGGTCCTTCCTTTAACAGAGGAAGGATTTCAATAACACACAGCTAATATTGCCTGTTATTGAAATACATCTCAACGTTCTCGCAATAAACTTACCATGGACTGAGTGAGAAGCATCCAGAACATTTTCATCGGCTTTGAACCCTTTCATATCCTTCCTTTTACAGAAGAAGGATTTAAATAACAGAGCTAATATTGCCTGGTATTGAAATACATCTCAACGTTCTCACAATAAACTTACCATGGACTGAGTGAGAAATATCCAGAACATTTTCATCGGCTTTGAACCCTTTCATGTTCATCCCACAGTAATGGCCTCCACCTCATTCGTGGCTATTAGCACTTATAACGTCCTCCTTTTGTTCGAACCTGCGGCTTTGCGGCAGTCTAATGAAGCCCAAACCATCGCAGGCATTAATTTCACAAATGTCCTGGAGCTGTATGCTAATCATGTGCAAATGAGTTGCATTATCACTTTCCAAATCACTTGAATGTTTCAACATGTCATAGGGTTGCATCTTAAGTTAGCGAGCGTTCGCTCATGCTTATTATCACATTTTTTTTTTCTGACTGCGTGGACCGTTCATGATCACTTTATTGAATACTTTTGCGATGACGACAGTCCTAATGATGCCCTCCACCCCCTCCTGCAGAGTTCACATTCTGGTTTTACGTGAAGGAGCATCTCAACCGGCATGAGCTGCAGCGCTTCTACTCCCTCCGTCACATCTCGTCGGAGCTGGGCCGGGGTCGGGCCTGGATGCGCTGTGCTCTTAATGAGCATTCGTTAGAGCGCTACCTGCACACGCTGCTCGCTGACCGACCACGCCTCGGGTTCGTGCGCTGTCGCTTTGCGCTTTATTTGAAGCCTCTTTGTTTATTTTTTGTTTTGATGAAAATCCCATCAACTGTGTCCCAGTGGGCGCGGCAATAAACAGAGGACATTTATGAGCGTCCACTTTAATGCTCTACCTTGAATTAACTTTCCCACTGTTTTTTTTTTTTTGTGCACACGCTGCTCGCTGACCGACCACGCCTCGGGTTCGTGTGCTGTCGCTTTGCGCTTTATTTGAAGCCTCTTTGTTTATTTTTTGTTTTGATGAAAATCCCATCAACTGTGTCCCAGTGGGCGCGGCAATAAACAGAGGACATTTATGAGCGTCCACTTTAATGCTCTACCTTGAATTAACTTTCCCACTGTTTTTTTTTTTTTTGAAGCATTTACTATGAAGACTGGGCTTTCATGCTTGATGAAGAGAGAGCTAGTATGCTACCCACCATGGCTGCGGGTGAGTTTGGAGACTACATTTGCACTGACCTATCGAGCTGTGTTCGTAGTCTCTTAATTAGGTATTACATTATACTTTACACACCCTATGTCTTGTCTGGCTGAAAACCAGTTACAGTTGCTGTTCCGTAAAACACAAAAATAACACCGCAAAAAAAAAAAAAAAAAAAGTGGTGACGATCAATACCATTGATTGACTTTCCGATTCGATGCTGGGTAAAATCAGTCCTGATGCCGATACTGTGTGCCAATACTACCGTGTCTGGTAATTTGACCAAGAATAGTGTATTTTAACTCAAAACTCATTAAAGCATCCTAGAGCAATATGAATGAGACACGATTAATCTGCTAAATTTTTAACGCTTTTAAAATCAGCCCCCGGCCAATTTTTTGTGTATTTTTGATGATTTTAAGTGCTTTTTAAAATAAAGTGCACCTGAAGACAAAAGTAACGACATTCAAACATTTCCCTCTCGCTTAAATCAGCAAAAAAAAAAAAAAAATTACTGACTTCTAGATTGTTTTCTCTACTTTTGTTAAATTCGACTAAAATGTTCTGCCTGTAATTAATATCTGTACAGGAGTAAGCGTTAACAGACGCGCCCAAAATTGAAGTTAATTAAACTAAGAATTATTTTTAGCATATTTTCAGGTATTGTATTTGTTTCATATTTTTTAATGAGTCAGCTGATTAATTGGTTGTCGGAATTTTATTCAGCCAAATACCGAAATCTGCAATCGACCTAAAAAAAAAAAAAATTCATCTCGTTGGGGTCTTAGTAAAACCAAGACAATTCTTAAATTCTTAACTCTTACCTTGAATGACAGATGACGAAGGTGTCATGTCTCTTTTTTGACTGTCAAGTGTCCTTTGGTATGTTGAAAGGCGCTTATAAATAAAATGTATTATTATTATTATTATTATTATTATTATTATTATTATTATTATCATGTGAAAGTTAGAAATAAAACTTTTACGCTGGACAAAAGTATTGGTACACTGCTTGACACTTATATGTGGCTGGTGATTATTTTTTTTTTTGAACGTTTTTGCTTCAGTGTGAAGACCGTTCCAATTCGGCATGTCAAAAAGAAAGCAGCTGGACAAGTTTCATGTGGGTTATATATTTAGAGATTTGCTCATGTAGCTCTGTCATGAGGAAGTGTTCACTCTGAATAATTATTCTCTTGTCGTCAACCCAACTCTAAAACTGTCGCGCTGTTTGAGGCGCCGTGAGTGCCACATTAGCGCGTCAAACCGCATCATATTCAAGAATGCATTGCCCGTTCATCCCACAGTAATGGCCTCCACCTCATTCGTGGCTATTAGCACTTATAACGTCCTCCTTTTGTTCGAACCTGCGGCTTTGCGGCAGTCTAATGAAGCCCAAACCATCGCAGGCATTAATTTCACAAATGTCCTGGAGCTGTATGCTAATCATGTGCAAATGAGTTGCATTATCACTTTCCAAATCACTTGAATGTTTCAACATGTCATAGGGTTGCAGCTTAAGGTAGCGAGCGTTCGCTCATGCTTATTATCACATTTTTTTTTTCTGACTGCGTGGACCGTTCATGATCACTTTATTGAATACTTTTGCGATGACGACAGTCCTAATGATGCCCTCCACCCCCTCCTGCAGAGTTCACATTCTGGTTTTACGTGAAGGAGCATCTCAACCGGCATGAGCTGCAGCGCTTCTACTCCCTCCGTCACATCTCGTCGGAGCTGGGCCGGGGTCGGGCCTGGATGCGCTGTGCTCTTAATGAGCATTCGTTAGAGCGCTACCTGCACACGCTGCTCGCTGACCGACCACGCCTCGGGTTCGTGCGCTGTCGCTTTGCGCTTTATTTGAAGCCTCTTTGTTTATTTTTTGTTTTGATGAAAATCCCATCAACTGTGTCCCAGTGGGCGCGGCAATAAACAGAGGACATTTATGAGCGTCCACTTTAATGCTCTACCTTGAATTAACTTTCCCACTGTTTTTTTTTTTTTTGAAGCATTTACTATGAAGACTGGGCTTTCATGCTTGATGAAGAGAGAGCTAGTATGCTACCCACCATGGCTGCGGGTGAGTTTGGAGACTACATTTGCACTGACCTATCGAGCTGTGTTCGTAGTCTCTTAATTAGGTATTACATTATACTTTACACACCCTATATTTTGCCTGGCTGAAATTACCAGTTACAGTTGCTGTTCCATAAAAAAAACAAAAATAACGACACAAAACAAAACAAAAAAAAACATTACCGTATTTTCCGCACTAAAAGGCGCACCTAAAAGCCTTCCATTTTCTTAAAATCTCACAGCGCGCCTTAAAATCCGATGCGTCTTGTGTACGGTCATTACGGTAATATTTTGACCCCAAAATGGCTCCTTGCTCGAGACATGCTGACAACGCAGAGTTCAAACTTAAGGCGATCGGGTTACGCAGTTGAACACGGAAATAGAGCAGCG